AAGAGAGACAGCCAGGAGAGAGCGACAGAGAGAAGAGAGACAGCCAGGAGAGAGAGAGAGAGAGAGAGAGAAGGCATAGCAACGCACCCACCTGAGGCCCCACAGAACCCACCATAGATCCTGCACAGCCCACAGAGACTGTCTATGGCAGGCTCTGCAGGGTCTCAGGTGGGCTGGTCAGGGGGCCTTTCCTTGCAGCTCCTTACCTGCCGCAGCGGGCTTCTTACAGCGCCGAACCGTCAACGACCTCTTCCTTGACTAGACCGGCAGTACTGGTCCCCAGCCCCGGCGTCCTCCACCTCCTCCCCTGTCAGCGCCCGCCCGACGGTAGTTCAATCGTCCCGTTCTCTGCCACTGTAGGATGGAGCGGAGTCCCAGCAGGGCAATGTGGAGTGCAGCCTCGACGGGGGAACGCGGGAGTTCCCTCTCACATCCCTCTGTTCTGTGTGTCGGCTCGCTCTCTCTCCCCTCCTGCTCTCGCTGCTGGGCTGGAGACTGAGCCGTGTCTCAGTGAAGTGCCGGTGGAGGAAAATTAATGAAGCCACCACAATTATGAATTGCATTACATTTTTGGCTTTGGGTTAAGATAGTGTGTGTAGTGACAGCTCTGAGTCTTCTGGGTCTTCTGAAACCACATCCAAGATAGGGGCACCCAGCAGCAGTCTCAGATTTTGAATGTCTATAGAAGAAAGGCATATTCAGGTAAATAACATGCCTAAACACAGTAAATGCACACAGAACGTTATGGGAAGATTGTTGTTGAAATAAATGGTCTGGCAACAGGGTCCCTTTAATAGTTTATGTTTTTGTTCTCATTAATGGTTTATTATAAATGTTGTGCTGTTTGTCAACACCCCATGTAGCAAAGTCAAAAACTAGTAAATGCTGCTTTGTACATACAAAAAACGCACTGTGAAAAACAAAGACTTAAAACGCACTTACTAAATCCTCCTCACTGTCAGGACTGGATGCAGAGTATATAGTGGCGAGTTGCATCACCTCTAGTAGCTGCCTTTACTATAAGGCAATACACACTTACAGATACTCAGATGCCCCCAGCACTTTGACTATACACTTTGGTTATAAATGTCGCAGGCAGCCCCCAGGAACAAAGGCATAGTACTGACCGGCACAAGACAAAAAATGAACACAAGATCAGAGAACTGGCCGGAACGGGCCGGTGTGCTGCCGAAAGGGCGCACAACGGCCCGTTCGGCAGTTGTCGAACTCCAATATACTTCAATGACAATGATATATAGTGTATTGCTCTTTAAACTTGCTTTGTTTTGCCCCCATCTCTGTTTCCCTTTTACTCCTCAATGGAAGAACTGAAAGTACTGTTAAATCGAGGTGGAATAGGCCTCCCTAAAGAGATACGTTTTCAAAGATCGCCTAAAGGTGGACAGAGTAGGAGATAGGCGGACAGATTGGGGTAGGGAGTTAAAAAGAATGGTGGACACTCAGGTAAAATCCTGGAGGCGAGCATGCGAGGTGGTGACAAGAGAGCTGGAGAGCAGGAGGTCTTGGGAAAAGAGAAGGGGGCGGTTTGTGTGATATTTTGAGATGAGGTGGGTGATGTAGGTTGCGGCGGAGTTGTAGATGACTTTGTAGGTTATTGTTAGTATTTTTAATTTTATATGTTGGGGAAGTGGGAGCCAGTGGAGGAATTGGCAGTGGGGGGCTGGCAGACATTGACTGGTTGGTAAGGTGGATGAGTCTGGCAGCAGCGTTCATGATAGACCAAAGAGGGGATAGACTAAAGAGGGGATAGCGTGCTTAGTGGTAGGCCAACAAGGGGTATTTGCAGTAGTCAAGGCGAGATATACAAGGGAGTGAATTAGAAGCTTTGCAGTATCATTTGTTAAGAAAGGAAGAATTTTGGAAATGCTACGGAGGTTGAATCGGCAAGATTTGGATAGTGATTGAATGTGGGGCTGAAAGGAGAGCTCCGAATCAAGGCGAATCAATCTAATAATGAGCAAACTACCAGAGCAAACTACATCCTGCAGCATGTGGCACCAAACTTGGAAGTTCAGGAGGGAATTGGTTGCCTCACATCCTATTTCTCCTGGACGTGACTGCGTATTGCAGCCCCCATAGACTTTTATGGGGCTGCAGTTAGGGTTGCCACCTTTTCTTCCAATGAAACCCGTACACTCCAGCACCGTGCGTCAATTATTTTTGTTTTGACAATTTACAGGAGAGAGTGAGGAGAGGCAGCCAGGAGAGAGTGAGGAGACAGACAGGAGAGAGAGTGAGGAGAGACAGCCAGGAGAGTGGGGAGCGAGTGAGGAGATAGAGAGCAACACATCTGCCTGGAGCAGAACCCCTGCGACATTCAAGACTTATTTGCGCCCTGTGTTTCAGACACCTTCTTTCTCCCCAAGTTCTAGCATCCCTCTGTGTCCCATGCCTCCTACAGCTACTCCTTAAGCTGGAAAACCAGGACCTTGTGGTTGCCCCTGTCTGCCTGACATCATGACATCTTGTGTCCAGGTTTCAGCTGGCCTGACTCAGGACTCAAAAAATCTGTCCGGGAGAATCCTGAACTGGTGGCAAGCCTAACTGCAATGTTCCTGCAAGGCCTGGAAAGATAGGACATGAGGCACTGGGTGTATATAAACTTGTATCATCCATCAGGAGCACATGTGATAAGGTGACAATGCAGGAACGCAATTGGAAGACAGTTGTCTTCCCATAACAGGAAGTGCATTAACAAGGGCCTTTATCTCAGGATCTCCAGGTATTATGATATAGTGCCTCTGCAACCAAACTAAAAGTCACCATAAAAGATCATGTGCCCTGAAGTGACAAAGGGATCAGCAGATGGGAGTGCTGCAAGGGACACAGGAACACGACTCTCCAAGAAGTGTCAGTTTCAGAAGAAGCTTCACACAGCAATTATTTTTCAGTGGACAGGTGTTTGGTGGCAGGAGAGGCAACTACACAGTTTTTGCTTTACAGGCTCATCTTTTATGGGGACTTTTAGTTTGGCAACAAGGTGGAATCACAATAACAAGTTAAAGCATATATCAGGGTGTTTGGTGATTTGGGTTTACACCCAATCAAAGCATTAATTATTAAGCATTGTCCAGCTATATCAAGCCACTAAAAGGGATTCTGTGCAGGGCTTAATCTTGTTGTGCTGAACAGTCTGTCTAACTACAAGGGAGGGGGGTTAGAATACATTGCTTGCACATTCACAAGGCTCAAGAAATGGACTGGAGAGCTCAGCAGTAGCAGTAGGATGGCCTGGCTGCACTTTGTCTCCCTTATGCATTTCATGTCTTCATTTACTACCTATGTAGGTCAGATTCCAGTAAATCAGTGTTTGCAGTATTTTCGTGGAATGTGGAAATCTCTTCTTCATAACTGTTACACCTACACGAACCTTGAGCCGACCAATCGGAGCGCAGCAAATATTTACCTTGCCAGGGCAAGCAACCAGCACCAGCCATTGAAGGTGTGTGTCATTTGTTGTGCATCACACAGACTGGCTGATCTGTTAGGGACTGGAAGCTCTGTTATAGGATGTCACCCCGCTGTGCACCTGTGTGTTTAATACTACTGCTAATCTCTGGATCACTGGATGCTAAACCGTGAGTGTCTAATCATTGTGGCATATTTAGTATGTTCAGGGTTAATTATGAGCTATACAGAGGAATTTTTATTTTTTTAAATAGCATACTCTGATGAGATTACTCACATCAAGCCAAACTCTTCAACTCTTTTATGTATATCTTGAAACAAAATTATGGAAACATTTTCCTTTAATACTACAGCCTTTTTTTAATGTTGTGTAATAAGAAACAATAAATCCAGACACCCCACTAGATTCATAACAATCTGCATGACAGTAAAGATTAAAATCATTGGGATGTCATAATGCATGCAACACTCTGGGGGGAATTTATCAAAATTACTGGAAAATGCCATGTACATATATTCAACAGAGGGAGTGAGCCAATTACAGGAACAGAATTTTGAAGTTTCAGAGATAGTGAGGCTGATTAATTTAAAATAGAATCAATATGTTACTTACTATGTCTCAATTTACTTGTTATGAGTCATACCTATAACTGGCTTACACTATTGTTGTGACTGTATGTCTCTATCCTAAATAAAGAATATACAAAAAATAGAACTGAAGCAAAAACATGTGTATAACCCCTATTAGTTTTTTGTCATCTGTATCGAGGCAGATTTCCCTTCACTTCCTGTCCAATAGCCACAACAGGAAGAAGGAGGAAATCCCTCCAAAGTTAGGAAAACCCCTGGTGGTCAACAGAGTCACCAGAACTAATGTCCCCATTGGTAGATTTCCCATCTTTTCCTGATCTTATGACAACCCAAATTCTGAGATTTTCTTTCACTGTCAGTGATATTAGTGAACAGGACAATCTCCCTAATGGGGACACACAGAGCAATAAAAACCTGAAAGATGCTCTAATCCCCCTCCACTCTATCCAACACATTAAAATAAAGTTTTGGCTTCAGTTCTACTTTAGAATTGTTATACAATTAAAGATTCACTTCAATTTCCAGTCTTGTAAAATCCTCTTTACTTATTTCATCTGCACATGATTGGATAATTGACGTATATCTTTACACAATGTATTGTGTGAGTATTCTCAAATCCTTTAGTAAATCATCCTTATCTTGTCTATAAACCGAAAAATGTGGCCATGACTGCAAGGAGGAAAGATTTGATTTTTATGTTGGTTATATAAGATAATTGCTACGTGAACATTGTGCACTATTGACTTTAGGCCCCTTTTAGATGGGAGGTTCGGTTCAATCAGGTCCACCTGTCAGTTCTTCAGACGGATCTGATCAGAAGCCCAGTGTTAGTCTATGGGCAGCTGGATGTAAACAGACATACGTCCATTTACATCTGATTAACCCCAACTCCACCTAGGTCTGGAACACCAAATGGAATAGAGTTACATTTTGGTGGGCCTGATTGTGACGGTTCAGGGTAATCGGCTGAAGACGTACACATGTCTGCTTACATCCAATGCCCCAAAGACCAAACATGGGTCCAGTAAGTTCAACTTTACCATCAAGGAAGAATAATGGATGGACACAGATGTCACAATGTTGACATTTGGTCCTAATTGCTTTGGTCAGCAGGGGATACGTGCATAGACAGAGGCAGTGGCTGTGGTTTTTTTGTAAGGTGTTCACACTTTAAAGGCAGTGCTTTGGCAGTAGCAAAATTAAAATGCAATGGAAGAAATGTATCAAGAAAATATAGATGTGGGTGAGACCGATTTTTATCAAGATAAGACAGATTTTTACTAAAAGCAGATGCACAGTTGAGAAGTGGTCAGGGGCAGGTTTTATTCTCTTGCAGTGCTACTTTTAGGGCCAGGCTGAGGCAGAAGAAGCGCCTGCCTTTGGCATTGTGCTGCAAAGGTGCAGCTGCGGTGGGAACCTGTCCTGCCTCTGCATTGCCCAGCCATCTCTTGTACTGTGCGGGACCTAGCTATCAAATTCGTAGCTCAGTCCAGCAGATTACACTGGGAGACCATGGCTCTCCCTGTGTAGCCAGTGGCATTCTGCTCCACTGTCAGTATGACACCTGCCCACTCTGTATAAGGAGCACTGTGCACTCATGATAATCAGAGCACTGTGTCCTGCTGACAAGAAGATCTTATAAATGTGGCTATGCCTGTGTAATCTGCAGAATTGCGCTATTAGCTCAGCGTATGCTCTACATTAATTTATGAATGAAAGCTACTATTGTAGTATTTTATTCATGAATTACTGTCATGTTTAGTTAAATGAGCTCTGTGAGACAGTGCTTAAAGTGCAAAATGCATTGTGTTGTGAAAGTGGCCTCAAATCTGCCCCACCACTCCTATTTAGCATTGCCTAGCTGTGCAACACAATTGATAAATGTCCACTATTGAATATTTTAGCACTACATATGTGAACAAGGTAGAACTGTTTGAGTGTAAAGCATTGGCCAGACGGAAGTCTAGAATCTCCACTGACTCCAATTATAATATCTTGTCTCTTTGTTTTTTTGCAGGCGCTATGCTTTTATTTTCCCTGACGCACTTCACTTGGGACATACCGAACATGCATGCTTGCATATGGAGGAAATCAAAGGATTAAGCCAAGTTCAAGTATCTCTTATATCAAGAGGGAGCACCATTATATTGGTAGAGAGAACCTTCCCAGAGAATCCTGTATTCACCTGTCTTCCAATGAAGGTATCCCAACAGTTCTCAGGTTTTTACACACATTTATTTAAAGCCAAAATTCAGAAGACACCACAGTAAAACCTCCCCAAAATGGAAAAAAACATGGATTCTACCATTACCCATCCTATTAAAATGCGCTTTTACTGCAGGCTATATCACTTCCTGTTCTAATGACAACACAGGAAGTTAGGATAAATGTAATCAATGGGGGACATTACAATGAAAACCCTGCAAGCATTCTAGCTCTCCATGCTCTATCCTAAGTTTTAACTGAAGATGGGCTTTAAAGTGTATCACAAATTTTATTTTAGTTTTAAATAAAGTTGGAAAGGATTAGAACTCCTGTTGGGTTTTAACTGCTATCTAGGGGCTCCTATCCAGTTTCACCCAACTGCCACAAAATGACAGATCCTCGACCAGCTGCTTTGTGTAAACAAGCTGGCCATTTATCCATGGTGACATCATTGACCAAATATGTTCTTTGAAGAAGTCATACTTTGTACCCCATAATCAATCCCTTAAGGGGTGGTGGGCTTGCAAAGGCCCCTTTATTATAAAGGGGGTTTCTAGATTTCACTATATACCATATGAAAACCCCCATATGCCTTTTGGGGGATAGGACTTGTGGGGTAGATGCTGTTGTCCCCTCAACATGGATACAGGGTGACTTGGAGGGGGGAAGGGTGGCTTTGCCTCTTAGTTTGATAGGCATTTTTCTGGTATAGTTCAGGAGGGGAAAGGCACAAAATTGTTTCCCTCCCTTTTCTGGCCACCCAAATGCCTGGATAAAGGTCTGGTATGAATTTTAAGGGGTGCCCTACAGAAAAAAAAGTATGGAGCCCCCTTTCTAAATTGTATACTTGACCTTTATCCAGGCTCACATCCTGACTGGCCAGGAAAGGAAGGGTTGCAAGGGTCTGCCCCCACAACCCCCTCTCGAACTATACCAGGCCTTCAACATTGGAAGAGTAGGGGGGCCAGAAAAGCCACCTTGGCCCATGTTGAGAGGAAAGGGGCCTCATCCCCACACCCTGTCCCCAAAAAGCAAAAGGGATTTGGGGTTTGTAGGTGAAACATCCAAATTCAGAGGGCCCCCATATACCCCTTGTTACTTATTCCTGAAAAGTTATGTTTGATGTTACTCAGGATCTCTGCCTGATTTGTTTACAGACACCAGCAGGGATCTGTTATTTTACAGTGGTACTGCTACCACTCAGCTAATGTTTATTCACAAACATCACCCGAGTTTCACCCCTTTTTGTCATAATGACTAATGTCAAAGACATAAGAAGTGATGGGGTGTCCAATCTTTTTAGTTATTAAGGAAACAATTGTCAGATGTGGGATCTCTTCTAACAATGCAGAAAGTTCTTCTCTCTTTCTGTCATGTCACAGGGACAGGAAATGTATGTCAATTTTCCCTTTGGACACAACAAAGCAATAAAACGGGATCAAGGTTTGAACTCTTCCCTACCCTGTTCAATATAATAACCTGGAATTAAACTTTTAGGGCGCATTTCAAAAACAGTTGGTCTTGTAGCATGTGTGGGACTTGGACAGAACTCAGAAGTCTGGTAGAGGTATCTCACCACTGGAGTTTTATTGGTTTTGGTCATTAGTAGGCTTTCCCGGGGCTTTAGATATGTTTTCCTTGGTTTATATTTCACATTTAGTAAAGTTCTACTTTTTTTCAACACATTTCAGGTCCCAAACGTACGTACAGATGATTCAGTGCATAGACTTATTTTTGAAAACGCAGAGTTGGAACTTACCATTAAGAATTCTGAGAAGAACATACGTGAAAAACGACCAGTCAGCCTGAAGACAAAGAAAAGGGATCCTGCTCCACAAATCTTGATCCAAACTGACAAATCTGTATACAAGCCTGGACAGACTGGTAACACTTAGATTCAGCAGTGATAACGTATAGAATAACATGTAAAGCAATGGTGCTGATGTGTGTGAATGTCTTCAAGCTTTTTGTAAGCTAAGCTAACTCAACTGCCATTGCGTTTGAAGAAGGGGCCGCATGTGGCTCTATGGTACTTATTTTGTGGACCTATGGGACCTCTGCACATGGTAGTATGTGTTTCATTTACCTAGGTGCTTGTGAAGCCAGTAAAGGAAATATATCCACACAGTACCTTGGGGTAAATGGAAATCTTCTTACTTGCATTTGACGTATTTTTCAAATGCACATCAAATGCAGGTAAACAAAGCCCCTGTACACAAGGCTTTAAACAAATTGGTTAGGGTTGTTTGATCGATTTTCTTGTATTATTTCACTTTGCTAAAACTACTAGTTATGTGTATAGGGTATTTAATAAGTATTATGTATGATTGAGGAGGACCCTAGATGATTGGTCTCTTTAACTGTAATTAGTTCCGGTTGGTAGGTTGTACACGAGCACACTATATGGAGTCTACAAATTTTTGTTTGTTTTTGTTTTCCTATATGTTTAAAAGTTTAAAACAAGGTTTTACAGTTGGTAATAAATTTATCAATCAAGACAGGCAAGTCAGAGACTACAGAGATTATGTAAGGAATATAAATTATGAATTCTATCTTTCCACTGTAATATTTCCTGATTAGGTCATAAAGATATGAAACAACAGTATTTTATGTATAACTGTACTAGTATGTGTCATATTATTTGAGTCAAATGAAACATATAAGAATGCGTCAAACTCATAGTTACATTTTACTGTGAAGGAAGGTGGAACACAAAGAATGTTATTAGAAGAGCATAACTATTTTTTACAACATTATTTTATATTCTGTATTGTGTTATTCGTCCTTTACTATTTTGTTTTTAAACATTTTACTTATTTTTATGTAAGAACACAAGTGATTTTAATCTTTGAGTGCTTCTTATGCTTAAAACTATTTCTCCAAAAGTTATACCAAAAATCATACTTCAAAAAGGGTAATTTGAACCTTTTTACTGGTTCACTGCAATGGGTCATCAGCTCAGTGACCTGCAATCTCTAGGAAAAACCTAATTGTCTGGGAGTGGCAAGATTTGCTGTGTACTGAGGATCATTCATCCCTAATACTGACAGTTCTCAAAACGGTATATTCATAAAGCAGTGAGTTTCACATTCGCCAAACATTCGCTGCAGGTGAATCTTCCTGGTTAATGTATTTCGAATGTCAGTGATTGATTGTTTTCGTGAAAGTCCTATTCGCTGCTTTATAAATATGCCCTAAAGTGTTTGTCTATGATAATTTTTTTGGATTTTGTCTAAGAAAGTGAAAAAGTGCCATGAACATCGTATGTTTGCAATGACCCATATTAACCAACCAGATTGTGCTTCAATGAAGTTAAATAGTTGAAAAATTATTTCTGGCTCGTTGTTATGGATTATGACACTTTGTACGGTGCTGTACATCATGATCAAGTCGTAACGAGTAAAATTTCTACTAGATTCCCTAGACCGTAATATTTATTATTCAGTTAAATGATTTCTTTATATTTTCCTAGTGAAATTTCGAATTGTCTCACTGGATGCAAACTTCAAACCTGCAGATACTCAGGTTAGTTGACAAACCAGGTGATAAAAGAGGATAGTGATACTACATATATAAATATCCCTAAATATGCTAGATAGATAGATAGATAGATAGATAGAATATACAGTATGTATTATACAGGTGAAACTCGAATAATTAGAATATCGTGCAAAGTTAATTCATTTCACTAATGCAACTTAAAAGGTGAAACTAATATATGAGATAGACTCATTACATGCAAAGCAAGATAGTTCAAGCCGTGATTTGTCATAATTGTGATGATTATGGCTTACAGCTCATGAAAACCCCAAGAACCCCAAATCCACAACCTCAAAAAAGTAGATTATTACATGCAATCAATAAAACAAGGATTGTACATAGAACAATATCGGACCTCTGAAAAGTACAAGCATGCATATGTACTCAGTACTTGGTTTGGGCCCCTTTTGCAGCACTTACTGCAATTACTTTTGCACGATATTCTAATTATTCGAGTTTCACCTGTATATGTACCCACATAAAATATAGTATTCTATGACATCAAAAATGGAACTGTTTGTGTCTGTGCCTACAGAATGAAGTCATACTCTGGGGACCCATGATCAGCCAAATGTGTTTGGGTTCAAATGTGGCATTCTCACATCCCTGGCCCACTGGATGTGGTTGCCTGCAGGGGGGATCTAACGAAATCTATAAGCCCTCCTAACATAAGGGGGCCCTCCAGATATCTAAAATAAACCATGTCCCCCAATGTAAATCAATCATCAATCACATCACCCAGGGATGTAGATCCTCACCTAACGGGCTCTCACCTCAACTAACAGCTCCCTAGCTAGGCATTGAATATACACAAACCACTCAGTGATGCTGTCTGACATCGATGACAATCTCTAGTCAGTGACATCACCCCGGAAGCCCTCTGGTTTGTTTACTAATTGAAACAAGCCTCCAGGCAGCAGAATTATTGGTCGCATGGATGCTGGCAGCCTACACAGGGTCCTAGCAACCAATGCCTGATGTTGCCCATGGGAGTGGAAAGTTGTAATGATAGAGCTAAATTAATGACTTCTGATTGCAGCTGCTTGAGGTTCAGTGGTCAGGTGAACAGCTAAAATCTGGTCATTTAGTTCTCGCATTCGATGAGCTATGAACATCTCAGGTTTGAGTCAAACACATGGTTGTCCCAAAGCAAAACCTCCTTTCTGTGAGTGATAAAATCAGAAGCATACAGCTGTAATATTGTAGATGTAGCACGGAAGTATACACTGAGCAGGTCACCAGTCAGTCTCCATTTCTATCCTCATCTACAAGTTATAGTCAACTACCAGAGATAAGATTGTAGATGCAGCAGATTGTAGATGGAGCATAGCAGTCCATGAAAGTCAGTGCTTGTTATTTCTCATATTTATATTGCAATGACATATAACGCAGTGCTTTCCAGAGTACATAGAATCATTTACATCAGTTCCTGACCCCGAATGGGCACACTAGAACACACTTGTGCAAGCTACAAAATCCAATACAGATAAAACCCCAGGTGGAGCCTGAACCCAGAGTTTAATGTAAGCAGTGCTAAGCACATACCCATCATATTCTGTCTTTGAATTGCATATCTGGTAAGGGGTCTTGTCACTCCTTTACATGTTCATGTCCCAAAAGGCTCCACCAGAAGCTTCACCAAACATGTCCAACTGATAAGAAGCTCTGGTATTCTTCATGAGGCACACAGGTTAAAATATGGAAATAAATGAATATTTTTTATCTAGAAAAGACTGGGATCCACAGGAAACAACCCACATGTACTTTGTGGCAATACAGACAATACTTATTTTACTAAGCTTTTAACAAAATTCAAAATAAACTCTGAAAACCCATACATAGTTTAAGTGTCAGCCACTACTTATTCTTTGTTTTCTTTCTTCCCCTTAGCTTCCCATAGTAGAATTACAGGTAAGATATTTTTTGTTAAGATATCAAAAAATGTCATCATAATTATGAAACCCTCATAATAACATTAAAGTGTATGTCTAGACAAAACTTTTTTAATCTTAGAGTGGGCAAGTGTTTAGACCCTCTGTGAAGTTTTATTGCTGTATTTTTCCCCATTGGGGAGATTTACACCTCTGTTTGTACTGGTGGCCATTATGACCAAGAAGAAAGTGATGTGAAATCCAAAATGTATGAGCTGTCCCCAGAACAAGAGATAAGGGTAAATCTTCCACTGGGGACACCTGTTTCGGGGACAACTATCCAAGTGGGAAATTTCCCTCACTGTGGGAGATATACTATAACATCGTAGTGCATCTCTGGGATAGGAAGGCAAGATACATTTCCCATGTGGTACACAGACAGTAAATAAAAACTGACAGGGGTTTTAATCTTTCCATACTCTCCAAAACTAAAAACAAAGTTTTAACACTTTTATAAATGTATTTAGTAACATATCTGATAATAAGAGCTGTACATCCAGCGAGCCCCTCTTCTCCCCAATCATCAGCCATGTCAAACATTTGTCATCATTCTTTAGTTTAGAGCCCATGACACTTACCTATCCCCATGGAGAAGTAGATCATTTCTTATCCAAACACTGTCTTACCACCTTCAAAGGTGGTACCTGATTTACCAAGTTTATACACACGACACGAACATGCCAAGCAAAAACACGCCATGATGCGTGCGCAATTGCATACGCTTACAACGTGAAATCGTGCAAAAAGGCGTAAATCAATGCCAAAGTTAGAAATGCTGTTCGTAACGCTGTAATGTACAGTATGTACGCTATGTACTACAAAATCATGCTAACGTGGCATGATCGTGTTTTAGAAGGTAAAAATCGCATGTGCAGTTAGCTTTTCCAGACCTCCACACGTCAGTGCTCTGTCAGGTAAAGTTTTTTAAAATGTGTTTTTTACTACATTCAGGGTACTTTTTTAAACTTTGTTTGTTAACGGGTTACAATTCTAATGTATTCCTATTCTTGGTGTAAGTTTCCCATATGTGATTGCATGCTAAACACTCTTTTTGAATTTCTCACGCCACTATTTGCATGGCGTATGGCTTCATGCGCATGCAATACGATGCGCAGGTAGGTAAATATGGGGCTATACGACTCCTAGGCAGGATGCCCTTTCAGAATGCTCGTGTTTGCTTAGTAATTATGGTTGCACGTGTTTGCGCACGTGTATTGGAATAGACATGCCAAACGTGCACGTGTTTGCATTAGTAAATCAGGCCTCTAGCATTGAGTTGCCGTTGCAGTTATCTTAAAATTTTTATCATACCAGCCAACTAAAGTAAGGTCAGCAAGTTTCTCCCTTTTTCCTATTAATATATATTCTGTCAGAGACAAACATTTAATAGTGGGGAAAAACTAAGAAAGATATAATTTACTGAAACCATAATATAGATACGAAAGAACAGAGAAACATGTGTGGCACACATTCTCATAGAGGAACTGTGCCCTAGCTGAGGCTTATGTGCCGTGCGGCATATGTTTGAATGTTTTTGGTTGTAAAATAAGCTCTTTTTTACATTTTAAAGATTTTATTCCAAATTGGTTGATTGCCTTTCAGGATCCAGAAACCAACAGAATTGGTCAATGGTTGGATGTGAAACTTAGGCAGGGAATGACTGACCTATCATTTCCTCTCTCCTCTGAGCCCCAGTTGGGGGAATATGTTATTGTGGCGAAGAATACAATCCACAAGTTCAGAGTGGAGGAATATGGTAAGAAACCAAATTTAAACAAAGTTGGCATAAACATGCATTTCTGGTAAAAAAAAAAAAAGATGGTCATGCACCAAACCTGATATTTTATATATAAAATGAAATTATTGGACATCGAGTCCAGGGCTCAGCTGGATTAGTCAAGCGGGGCTAAAATCTAAAATAATTCCCAATAGAGCAAAATATTCCTTGCTGGTCATCAGATGAAAATGTCTAAACTTTGGGGTTTATATACTAAAGGCAAATAGGATGTTCACTTTGCACAGGAATTTTCTCTTAGCTTAGTGACTGTGGTGAAAATTTACTTTGCAAAGAATACCCAATCATGTGCAAGCATAATAAAAAAAAATCAGTATTTCTGTTTGCATATGATTGGATGATGGAACTCAGCATAGCTTTACATCATTTATTAAGCGAAAGGAAAATTTCTTTGCAAAGTGAAAATTCCCTTGCAAAGTAAACAGCCTATTTGCCTTTTAGGATCCCTCATTTACTTTACTTTACTACTTACTATTCATTTACAAGATGCTTGTTCTGGGTTTGTGCTTAAAAGCTATTGAAACCAGACACAGTCAGGCAACTAGCATTTTTAGGAAACCAACAATGACAGCCCCCATTCTCCTTTCATGACCAGTATACTGTACTTTAAAGTTTTCACTTTCTACTTCAGCTGGTCTTTGTGCTCTTTTAGTATTGAGAACTGGCTCCATGTTAGTGTTGTTGATTGATGTTTTTAGTCAGGAAGAGACTAATTAGATAGTAAGAAAGTTGTCCATGGGTCTTGTAACACAATAGTGACCTATTTAGTTGCCTTACTATTAATATAGTCCTGCTTTCTATCACCCATTTATTGTTTGTCTGCAATTTTTGTGTTTTTACAATAGAAAATATATAGGGGTCTATTCATGAAGCAGCCGAAGGATCTAGCCGTATCTTGGTCAATGGTATCTTATTTGTGTGTCACTCTGCTGTAGATCCTCAGCTCAACTCTGAACTTGTGCTGACACTGTCTTTCCTTCTGGAGGGTGACTACTTTTGTTCCCCATGGTCCCTGTGTGTGTTATAAAGTAGCCACCACTCCAAGCTTGCTCCTGTGATAGAATATACCTTCAAAACAAAAATAGATAACTAAACATTAGACTTTAGTTCAACACAGTAGTGAACATGGAGTGGTATCTACTTTACAACACACACAGGGACCATGGGGAACAAAAGTAGCCACCCTCCAGAAGGAAGGACAGTGTCAGCATCAAATATGATTTGAGGCTCTAGAGCTGAGTGATACACAAATAAGATCTATTTTTGTTAATAGTTAAGGTACTTGAATGCAATTTTAGGATTTAACGCCTGAGTTTAGCTCCCTACACCATGAGCATCAATTCCAAATTGTCTTTCTCTGAGAATTATCATCATTACGTTGTTTAGTGCCTTTGTTTCCACAGTGCTCCCAAGGTTTGAGGTCATCTTTGAGCTCCCAAGGTTGCTCTTGAGCAACACAGAGACATTCCCTGTTAAGATATGTGCCAGGTAAGACTTGAATTCTAATTTCTAAACATTTTAGAGGAAATTAAGCGATAAACTGTAAATTAGACAATGAGATTTTATACTGCAGGGGACGTTTCCTCTTAGTTTAGAGAATGAGGTAAAGCTCTGCTGACTTCCATCACCCAATCATGTGCAAGCAAAACTACATTTGTTTTTTATTTTCACATGATGAATATTCTTTGCAAAGTGGAATTTCACCACATTAACCAAGCTAAGGAAATCTTCTCTTGCAAAGTGTAAATTCCCTTGCAAAGTGAACTGCTTATATGCTTTTAGTAATTCAACCTCCTTATCTGTATTAAAAGGTGAAGTTTGGTTACTAAAATAATAGTCTATGCTACACTCTTTGCACTATTTTGCTGAATAACCCGTCAGTAAAAATATATAGTTACTGGGGGTGCAGAGGAAAGTGTAATACCCCTCATTACACCCTCCCCTAAACCACAGATTGAACATTAAATTAGTTCTTTAATGGCACTGTAACATTCATTTTGAAATTATACTTATATACATTTTTCACCAACCAGGTACACCTTTGGAAAGTCAGTTTCAGGCCAATATAAAGGCAGCTTGTGTCGGAGAAACATGTTTGGCTATGTCCCATCATTAACCCGAAAACATGCCTGTGTTCATTTCAAGGGAAAGGTGAGATAAGTGGTGCTTACTTTTCAGCTAAGCTTAACGAATTGCAGCAGTTCAAGTTCCAACCAATCATTAATCTGATTGCTCGAAACTGTTATGCAATGAGGCATTGCAAACGTGCACTAGGCAATACATAATGCTAGCCAATCATTTTAAGTTGCTAGAGTGAAATTAATAAAATGTGAAATCTGATGTGTTGCTGAACATTTTTTGATTATAGTCCCTCCGTAGAACATAACCCTTTAGAAATTCAAATGCAGAGAAAGACCTCCACCGCTTCTTCCACAGTTCTACTACATGGATTCGTTTCAGGTGCTGCTGGTCAAAGAGCCATCCATACTCAACAGCAAATGCAATCCAAAGAAACAGCCGCATACTGCCAACCTTCATCCAGAGCTTCTTTATTTGTAAAATCCAATCAGCTCCAAACCTATGTTCCCTGCCTGCTGGTCGCTCACCTCTCTCCACCCAATTGGGCTCAGTTGTAGAGTAGTCATCTACGACTAAGCCCGTGAAATGCATTAGAGGTAAACAACCAGCAGGCAGGAATCATAAGTTTGAAGCTGACTGGATTTTACAAATGTAGTAGCACTTGGTGAGGATTAGCAGTGTGCGCCTGTTTCTTTGAATTGCCTTTAGAAATTATATTTAAATGCTTTTACTGTCATAAACAAAAAACATCTAGTAGAATATTTAAGTGGCACACATTTATTATATTTCCCTTTAGAATACATAAAATTGATATATCATTTGCAGAGTACCATTCTTTCTATATCTGTTTTGATTTGTGTTTGTTCTCCTTAGCTGGACAAGCAGGGTTGTGCCAAGTTAACCATGAAGTCTTATAATTTTTACCTTCAACACTCAACATACAACATGCAAATGTCAATACAGGGAAAGGCCACTGTCACAGAGGAGGGGACAGGTGAGGCTTTGAAAACCATTTATAAAAAATGTAATTTGGATCCTCGAAAAACACCCACCTTCTTTGCAAGAGTTACATGTTTTGTCTTCACACTGTTTCTTTTTAGGAATAGAATTATCCGCACGTGGAGCATCCAGAATCACAAGCAGAAATAATATACTATCTTTTCTTAATGCCAAGAAAATGTACAGGCCTGGGATTCCGTACACTGGAACAGTTAAGTCTTGCACTACATTTATTTTTTCATAGTGGTAGAATTCTGGTGCAGGTAGTTTTTGTTGCAAGCCTCCCAGTAAGAACTGATGTGCATAGTGTGGTAGCCCAGTGTTTCCTTAACAACATTTCCCCTACAATAAAGCACCCCTCTAATATGGAACCCTTCAAGTAGAACTATGGCCAAACTATGGGAATTTTAATATTTACAAGCAGTTAACAAGCTGTTAAACAAACCCTTACCCACCTCTGTAGCTATAGACACAAGCAATTTGTCCCAAAGTTGGTAACAGTTGCTGTAAAGTTGATCAAGTCAGTTCTCAGAACACTGATCTCCCTCCCAGAGCTTCTGCTCTGCATTTACAGCAGATATTAGAAGGCTCAGAGTTTACAGCGGAAGACACCTTCACTTTCATCTCAGCTGCTAAGCTCACCCCTTCCAAGCAGTGACTTGACAGCCTGCCTGGAAGGGGTGAGCTTAGCAGCTGAGATGAAAGTGAAGGTGCCTTCCGCTGTAAACTCTGAGGATGAATTGGCCACTGCTACAGGTCAGTGAGGGCTTGGTTTAAAGCTTATTTACTGTTTGTTCAGAATATGGACTCCTACATATAATCAGAAATGGGCCCCATTGTGTCACAGGACTCCGGGGGTGGAAGCAACAAAGACACCTGTTTGCCTTAGCTGCGTATTTGTTATTCAATAACTGGTACAAAAACATGAAATTGTCTTCTATTGAACATTATGCTGAATCGCAGATATTTCTTGTAATATCGCTCCAAAAAAAACCTATTGAAATGAAGAATGTAAACACCATTGTTCACTATGGAACACTATGGCGCTACACCACCAATCTTTGATCCTATCACTGCCACAAACTGAATGTAAAGTCATGAAAACCAGGGACGAGGTGTACAGCAGTACTCAGTGTTTGGCAGTCTATTGCCTATTAGCTACCCTTGGTGAGTCACAGAACACTTTCATGCTACTAACCTTGATGGAAGATGTATATAATGGATAAATTGTGTATTGCTGCAGGTAAAGGTGCTCAATGATGAGGGAGTCCCTGTCCCAGGCCAGGAAGTTTTTTTAACCTGCCAAGATGGAAATGCGACCTCTAAACACACTCTGTTAACAGATGGCAATGGACGTGCTGCTTTTATGCTGAACAATACAGAAAATTGGGTGGACAAAGTTGACTTAACAGTAAGTACAGATGTTGATTAAAAGCACAAATTTGAATGCTAAACACTATGTTTAGTTATTTATTATTATTTATAATATTAACAAGAAATCATTCATAATTACCCCTTATCACATTTGAAAGAAGACAATGTTTTAAGGGATGAAGCAGCCTCTGCATTTTGTATTTTGCTATGAACAATGTTCATCTGTTGCAGGCATCCACCATGGCAGAGAGTACCCCACACTTACCATACTTCTATGATTTAAATACCCCACATGATATGAATGGGCATTTGACTCTCTTGCCCCTGTATTCTGATAGCAAGAGTTACCTCAGCCTGCAACCTGCAGGAGACATTCTGTCATGTGACCCAGAAGAGGAAGCCCATGTGGAATACATCATCAGACGCATAGCACTGGAGGAGAATACCAGTCCATTGATTCTACATTACCTGGTGAGATTACTAACCTTCAGGAGCTTGTGAACATGATCATTTGTTTCATTTGTTTTTTTTTCCATTTGCTTTTTTATTGGTAATTTGTACATTTTGTGCATTTTTATAACAACACAATAAAAAAATTCTTAGTACCAGAATCCTAATAATAGTACCCCTATAAAAGAAACAAATCACAGAAAAAAATTTACTTTTAATTATAAGCAATCTTACTTCCCAGATGGAAAAATGTTGGTTACCATAATGTTAATGAGATCCTGCTTCTGTTTGGCCAAGCTCATTATGACTAAGGGGTCTATTCACTAAGCTGCAGTATGCAGCCGCGTGAATGACCGACCTAAAGCGAAGTGAGCCGAACGCTGTTCGGCTATTCACTTCAGGCTTTTTATGGCTGATTTCATCCGTATATCGGCTCAAATCAGCCGTACATCGGGTGGCTTCATGTGGCTTTGGGTCGGCCGAAGTGCAGGAGGAGTTCGACTCAGCCGATCCAACATCTGGATCGGCTAAGCCGAACCACCGGCAGGCTTCTCACTGCTGTTCGGTCTATTCTTATAGATGCCGAACAGCAGTGAGTGAATAGCCGAATGCCGATGAGCAGCATTCGGCTCGGCTGTTCTGCTCGGTCCCTCAGAGGTACCGAGCAGAACAGAAAAATAGTTTAAAAAGTACAAAAAAATAAATAGAAAACGATTATGCGGAGCTAGTAATGACAGCTAGCTCCGCCCAATAGTTTTCTATTGGCCGGTGGTTCTGCTGCCGTCAAAAAAAAAGAAGAAAAAAAACTCTCCCGGGCGCTCTGGGAGTCTCCCGCTCCCGGCTGCCCAGGAGAGAAACACTGTTTTTTGTTTTTTTTAGTTTTATAGAAAAAATAAATGTTGCCCATGGGAATGCATTGCTAGATTCCTATTGGCTATTTCAATTTGCAATAGCCAATAGTAAACTAGCACTGCACCCACTCTCTACTGCAGTTCTCCATCAGCAGAGGGCGGGTGCAATGCTAGTTTACTATTGGCTATTGGAAATTGAAATAGCCAATAGGAATCTAGCAATGCATTCCTATGGGCAAAAATGTATTTATTTTTTTCTATTCTGACACGGCTCCGTGTCAGAATAAAGAAAAAAAAGAAGAAGCAGTGTTTCTCTCTTTGGCGGCCGGCAGCGGGAGAATTACGGAGTGCCCGGGAGAGTTTGCTGTCTGGAGATCAGTGTCCCTGGTTAGCTGGTAACCAGGGACGCTGATCTCTCTAATAGTGACCGGAGCAGGCCGAAGCTACTGCTAGATCCTACTGCTAGATCCTTCGGCTGCTTCGTGAATAGACCCTTAAATAACAGTAATCGTTCTTGTTCAAACCTCCCTTAGGAATGATGGGCAGCAGCTTTTATTTCTGTACCTGTATCTGCCCAGGTACCTTATTTTTAAATGTGCAGGCCCCATCCACCTCAGCTCAAGGCAGGGGCACACTTTGACATCTTCACTTTGGGTGTCAGATCTTGTTTTGGCACTGTAACATAGAGCACTACCCCATTAACCATTAATAACCGGGTCATTACATTCCCCCATGCATTCCAAGAAGTATTGAGTTCCCAGGATGTCAGTATTTTATCCACCTAAAGTGGAGAGTACTAGTAGAGAGGCACAGGGGTGTCTGGAAACTACAAAATGCTCTTTCTTCTTCATGGTTGAATTTTTATTAATCACTATTATTAATATTACAATACCAATTGAACATATTTTCTATAGGTCACTTCTAAGAACACCATACTGACCTCCGGTTCTCATGATATACCGATAATTGGTCCTAATAAAGGTGAGAGAATATAGTATTGTAGCTGACCAGCATTTGTTTTGCACTAATCATTTTCATACTTACTATATGTGTGCACTTATTGTAAGTGTATTTAATCCTGCCATACTGAAATTTAAGCTGGATAACAAAAGTTGGTTGTTGCTTTGTATCAGAATGAAATACCAGAGGTGGTAGGGAAATTAATAAACATATACTGAACCTTGTGCATCACAGCAAAATCCATATATAACTGTTTGGTCGTTATAATCAAGTCCAGTTGCAAACATATGGTAAGAAGTTTAAATACGAATTAACACAGCCGATTGGCAAATCTACACTACGCAATGCTGGCAGTGCCATCCTGCTTAAATTAGCTGCTAACAGAGGCATGTGTAGATTGTACATTTTTACTAGAGATCATCTGCCAAAGCCTATCTGTTCTAAAAGGTCTTCCAAGATCTCCAAAATACTCTTTTGTCCCACAAACACGCCACACCAATTTGTTGATATCGAAGTCTTTCTGCTTCAACCTTCATGTGTACTGCAAAAACTCGCAAAGAGGCTGAGGGCTGTCCCTTTAAAGCATATCTGTTATCGTATATGCCCCACTTGCCTAAGCATGAATTTAAGGTAAAAAGCTCCCCAATGCTGTGACTTTGGTCTACAGAAGTCACATTCAAACTAAAAAACTAAAGTCAACTCCACACAACAATTATATTTCAGTATTGGGTAGTGGCATGCGTGTTGAATCACCTGCTCTCCTATATGTCCCTTAGACCCCTGTGGTGAGATTTCCTAATAATAGTTGTGTCTCTTCACTCTCTTCCACAAGGGCATGACTAGATGTTGCTTTTGCAGCTGGACGTACCATCATTCGTTTTACCATTACAGAGATCGTAGTGTTTGGGGCAGTTGGTGGCATTTTTGGTAGAAAAGTCTCTTTACTGGGGTTCCTGAGAGAAGAAGCCTGAGTATAAATTAACTTGTAGGCAGCCACTTGGCTACAATATCAGTTATGGTTGGGGTTAGCTCTAACTATTCAGAATATAATGCATTTCAAAAGATTGAAAGATTTCACCTGTTAACAAATTTCAAACTTTTACTCTGGCCAACCAGTTTTGGTTTCTGATAAAGTGGGTACGGATTACAATTTTTGTCAGGTTTTTATTGCTGTGTGTCCATCAAGAGACAGGAAGTAGATGACAATCTCACCTTAAAGAGCTGTCATTGAAATAGTTCCCCTTTGGGAAGTTTCCCCTGAGCTCTTGTTACAGTGACAGAGATGTCAATAAAACCCTTTTCCTGCTGTAGCCATTTAAAAAAAATAGATTACAGTTAAACTTCAGCTCATAAAGGATAGCGCTGAACTCGTACTCGCCCAAATGCTCCGAAACTTACCCCCGATACCGGAACAGCTGGTCAGAGGGAGATCTCTCTGTGACCGGCAGTGCTGGGGGAGCGTGGAGCCAGCATCCTTTCCAATTAGGAAGCCGGGTGGTGGGTTATGACCCGCCTCCCGGGTTCCTGATTGGTTAGGAAGCCAGGCTGCCTAGCCAATCAGAAAGCCGGGCGGCACGTCATGACCTGCCTCCCGGCATCCTGATTGGTCAGGAAGCCAGGCTGCAACCTCATGACTCGCCACACAGCTTCCTGATTGGCCAGGAAGCCAGGCAGCCTCGGGAAGTGAATCCAGTATTCTTTCACTATACATGATTATAATCTGCCACCCGGGTTCCTGATAATCGGGGCACACAGCACAGGTATCTGCGAGTACCAAAAAAAATATCAGTACTTATACTCGATACCGAAAAAACGGTATTGGTGCGTCCATAATAAAGGGTAATAAATAAATGCTATAGGATAAATTGGAAAGAATAATTCCCATTTTCCGAACTGGCCCAAGAAATTTGAGATGGATTGCAACCATGCATACATTTATACTTGTTTTTGTTTAGAGCTTATCTCACATTCAGTAAATTCCCTCTGAAAATGTCCATGTATGAAACATAAGAAAGTCTTCTGCAAATTATATCAAAACGTTGGCAATAAAATACTGACGCTTTGACTTATCTCCACCACAAGACCCTTGAATTCCTCTATATCTACTTTGGATTTGTATGGAAATTTTTGTGGATGAGCACCCGGAATTTACCTTACAAACAATGTGGAGTGGCTACCTCTGGGACTCTATACTGTATGTGTACTGTATATATACATATATATCAGTAAAGATGTAATTAGGTGCAACAAAAGGCCCATCAGGTAGCAGTAAAAAACAAGGTAGTGTGCTTCATACCATAGCATGCCAATACATAGACTGTGTTATGTGAGAAGAAACTGAATTAAAGGTCAATCTAGCGATCACCTCTGTGACAAAAGGAAGCCAGATCGATCTTAATCAAAAGGATTGTTTTCTGTTTATAGTGAACATGTTACAGGCCAATTACAGTTTCCCCTTTATCATGGCTCTTTGGATGAAACCATTATTTATCCAGCAAGATAAAGTGATTCAAAACCCACCGTATATAAAAAGAATTTGTATAGGTAACAGATTTACACAAAGGATTTGGATCCTTCATGGTCCAAATCCTTTGTGTAAATCTGATACTGTACATATAGACTTTCTGTATAAGGCAGGATTTGAACCACTTTATTTTGACTCCGGAACAAGGATTCCAAACAAATAACCCTAATGAAGAAGACACAGCAAATGCCCCAAAACAACAGGCACGTTTGTGATAAAAATTGATATCCCTGCCTTCTGTTATTGAAGTTCAGACCTCTAGTACTTGCTATATAGACTTTAATTAAAATATTGTATATACTTACAGTCTGTGAGTTGGCCCAACATCACTGATTTACAGTATGATATGAGTAGAGTACAAAAAGGGGCAAAGAATGAAAAGTATGGCTACGCATGATGAAAATGATAAACACTTTAAAAAAACCATATGCATGCTCTAGGGGGGAAAAAAAATAAGCAAAGCGCTGACATTGCCTTCTTCTTGACCAGTCTTATAAAGACCTCCATTGTACACAGCTCTATTCTTCTATGATGCTGTTTCTCTTGTAGACCTGCATGGGGAAGTGACCTTCAAGCTTCCTGTAGGAGCCACAGACTCTTCCACCTTTAATGCCCTTGTGTTTATTTTACTCCCCAATGGAGAGATAATAGCCGATTCAGTAAAAATCAGGGACAAGAAATGCTTCAAAAATCAGGTATGTTCTGTATGTGTACAATACACCATACGAGTACATTTCTGGCAAATATACCTTGTTTTTGAGTGAGCAGTAACTTTGTTTGAGAAATGGCCTGATCAGTGAGTTTATATTTCTTTGTTACTACACATCAGATGATGGCAGAAGAAAGGCTGTTTTGGTTACGTAGATAGATAGATAGATAGATGGATAGATAGATAGATAGATAGATAGATAGATAGATAGATAGATAGATAGATAGATAGATAGATAGATAGATAGATAGATAGATAGATAGATCTTCTGGGTCCATTTTAATTGACAACAAATCACATTGACAGGAATTGAAGGGGGACATAGACAACAGCATTTTCAGCAGAGTGGGGAAGGTTGAAACCTCTGCAAAATTTTTACTGATGTCTGTGCATTCTCATTTACCCCACATTTCTTTTCTTAGCATCACAAAGATAAAATATGAAGGGAAATCTGCTTAGTAGGGGCACAGACAGCAGTAAAAACCTAACATGGGCTCTAGCCCTTCCCCTTTTTATTTAGCACTAGAAAAAAGTGCTGGCTTTAGTTGGGTTTTAAAGTAAATCTCTCATCAAAACTTTTTTTATATATAGTGGGGAAAAATTAGAACCCCACAGAACATGACCCCAACCCCACAAAAATTTGAACCACTTTTTTTTGAATGTCCTCACTTCTTGTCTCAGAAACACAAGACGTGAGTGGAAACCTTTACAAAGTACAGGGAAATACTCTTTTAGACAGTTGTCATTGGAACTGAAGAACTCTCTTCATTGCATAGAAACAGAGGAGAGAAAAAGACCAAGTGGTCCATCGAGTCTTTCTATTCTTTTTATTTTTTGTTGATTGTTTTAATCTTTTAGACTGAGTATAGATCTAGGTTTACCCCAAGCCTGTTAAATGTCTGCCAATGAGAAATTAGTTGTCATGGTCTGGGAACTGGGGCACAAGGGAAAAATAATAATTGATAAATAACAAATAATCTTTGGTGAATGTATTCAGGTGAAAGTCGGCTTTTCTCCAGATGAGGTCCTCCCAGGATCGGATGTGTCTCTCCAGGTTCAGGCTGCTCCTGGCTCTCTCTGTGGTGTCAGGGTGGTGGATCAGAGTGTCGTGTTGTTGAAACCAGACAAGGAGCTGACTGTCGAAAAAGTAACATTCATGTATACCCTATTTTATCTAATGCCAGTGATGACTGCTACACAATTTTCATACTTCTTTAGCTTACACTAAATCCAATGAAAGCATACCAGGCAGTATTACTTAGTAAACATTTGAAAAGCTGGTATATAGAACTCATGTTGTAGTTACTAGGTTTTGCTATAAGATTGGCAATTCATTCCACCACTGCTAGCAAGAGCTTAAAGTATTACTGATTTAAATATTATTTACAAAACACCTTGCAGATGAAGACTATACTTAACTGTCTTGCTTTTCATCCCTTGAATCCTCAGTCTCTTGCACAGCAAAGCCACAAGCAGAATTTTCACTGTCCTACACTCTTCACTCCACTGCTGGGGCACTGTGGTTCCAGTTAGCACAGTAATCATGTAGTGGCAAGTAGGGATGGGCTGGATGTTCGAGTTGAACGGGAGTTCGCCGAACACAAGAACTATAAGGGCGTTCGGCGGTCTGTTTGACCGCTGAACGCCCTACAAGGCAATGCTCCTTGTGAAGCCCTAATTGGCTAAAGGCTTGCACCTGACCACAGTTCAGGTGCAAGACTTTGCCCGATCAGGGCTTAGTACTCTGTAAGAGCCATGATTGGGCAAAGTCATGATGACTAATTGTAACGTCCAGCCCAGGAGTTGTGATAGGATCGGTGTAGATGGTGATAGGGATTAAGGTACCCTCAAGAAGGTGGCGCCATGTTTCTAGGCCACATTTGATGGCCAGTAGTTCCTTTTCACCCACGGGGTAATTCACCTCCGCTGGAGATAGGGTACGGGAAAAAAACGCCACAGGATGTATCGGGGTGAGTAAGGATTCCCTTTGGGAGAGTATAGCCCCGACCGCTACTGAGAGGCGTCAACTTCGAGAATATATGGCAGTGCTGGATCAGGGAGACGGAGTATGGGTGCGGAAGTGAACAAGTATTTCAGATGGTCAAAGGCTTCTTGAGCTTGCCGGGTCCAGAGATAGGGAGTCTTGGTACTGGTTAAAGAGGAAAGAAGTTTGACTACTAAAGAGAAGTTCTTCACAAACTTTCTGTAGAAGTTGGGGAATCCCAGAAACCGTTGTAGTGCCTTTCTATTTTTGGGATTAGGCCATTTAAGGATACATTCTACTTTAGCCTGATCCCTTTCAATACCCTTGGGGGAGACTATGTACCCCAGGAATGGAATAGTGTCGACCTCGAAGGTACACTTCTCTAACTTAGCGTAGAGCTTGTGTACTCGGAGTCGTGATAGCACCCAACGTACGTGTTTCCTGTGTTCAGGGAGGTTGGTGGAGTAAATCAAAATGTCGTCCAAATAAACGACGACACATATGTCTAGTAAATCTCGGAAAATATCATTAATGAAAGCTTGGAACGTGGCTGGCGCATTGCACAGCCAAAAGGGCATCACGGTATACTCTAATAGACCGTACCTTGTACGGAAGGCTGTTTTCCACTCGTCTCCGGACCGGATACGAATCAGATTATAGGCCCCCTTGAGATCTAATTTAGTGAAAATGTGAGCTGTTTGGAACCTTTCAAGGAGTTCAGGGATTAGCGGTAGCGGATATCGATTCTTCCGTGTCATTTTGTTTAATGCACGGTAGTCGATGATGGGCGTAAACTTTGGTCTTTGTTCCTAACGAAGAACATCCCGGCCGCGGCTGGGGAAGTAGATGTTCTAATAAACCCTTTTCTGAGGTTTTCGTCTAGGTACTCCCGAAGATGTTTGAGTTCGGGTTCAGATAAGGGGTAAACTCGACCCACTGGGATGGGGCTAACGGGCAATAACTCTATAGGGCAATCATATGCCCTATGAGGGGGCAGACTTTCCGCCTTTTTCTTGCAAAAGACTTCTGAGAACTCTTGGTACTGGGGCGGAAGTAGTCCTGTACTCACCTGTAGTATGGGAGTGGAGGTATAGCACGTTTGTTTGCAATACGTGGAATCAAGGTTCACTTCATTTGTGGACCAGTCTAGTATGGGTTGATGTAACCTCAACCAGGGTAGTCCTAGTATGATAGGGAAGAGGGGAGATGGAATCACGTCAAAAGACAGACACTCCACATGGTGGTGCGGTGACGTTACCATCAAATGTAGCGTCTCAAATGCTATGGGACCTGAGGATAGTGTAGTGCCATCAATAAAGCTGACAGACAAAGGGTTATGCTTTCGTTGAGTGGGTATTTTATTTTGTCTTACTAAGGACATATCCATAAAATTCCCACAGGCGCCGGAATCGACCATGGCCTCAACGTGTAGAAGTTGCTGGTCCCACTGTAAGATTAAAGGGATGTAGATATAGTTGGTGGAGTTAGCATGATCAGGGAGGAGGTTACATATATATTAATTCTTACCCTCAGTCTTTCTTCGAATGAGAGGGCAGTCGTTCACCGTGTGGTCGGGCCCCGCGCAATAGAAGCAGAGCTTGTTTGATCGCCGTCTTTGTTTCTCATCTTGCGATAAGGGACCCCTGATGGTGCCGATCTCCATAGGTTCATCCCTGGGTGCATACCTCTACGAGGTATGCTGGTATAACTGGAAGCTCTTTCGCCCCATCGTTCACGCAGTCATCTATCGATGGTGACCGCACGGTGGATGAGGTCGTCTAGAGTAGCGGGTAGGTCTGCTCTTGCCAGCTCGTCTTTAAGAGAGTCGGAGAGGCCTAGGCGGAATTGGTTCCTTAACCCGACCTCATTCCATTCCGTCTCTCTTGACCATCTTTTGAATTCCGCTATATAATCTTCGACGGGTCGACGTCCTTGTTTCAAATTTCTAATAGCACTTTGGGCAGTAAGTTGCTTACCTGTGTCTTCGTAAAGCAAATCCATGGCCATTAGAAACTCCTCAAGGGACTCGAGGATGGGGTCGTCAGCTTCCAGATACGTATTAGCCCAGGATCTAGGTTCTCCCCTCAAGTAGGAGATGAGGGTCTTTACTTTTATACGATCATTAATGTAAGTTCTGGGTTTAAGTTCAAACATAAGTTTGCAGGCGTTGATGAAATCCCGGTATTGTGCCCTATCTCCTGTAAATATGTCTGGGGCACAAACCGTGGGTTCAGGGTTATCTCTGGGCCTTCCTGCACCAGCCCTCTGTTCATCTAGGCGAGTGCGCAATCTATGATTCTCGATTTGTAGATCTGCCACCTTAGTAGTGAGGTCTTCCAGGCGTGTATTAACATTGAACAGGTGAGCGGCTAATTCCGCTGGATCCATTACGGCTTCTAGTGTAATGTAACGTCCAGCCCAGGAGTTGTGATAGGATCACAGCTGCGGATATTAGCCTAACACCTGTGTTTGAGTTGGCTCAGGGCGAGGGTTCACTTTTACACTCTGTATGTTAGGAGTGATGGTGGAACCCTCTATAACATCATATGCCAACCACAGGAGTGTTCCTTCACACAAGGATAATGTAACCGCTTCACAGGATGGTATTAAGAGTATTCCTAGGATAGACAACTTGATTAACCCCACTAACTGCAGGGGGATAGGGCCTACTGTATGGAATGAATCGTACTATGCTATTTAAGGGTACATATACACGTGAGTACTTTAGCAATGGTAGAAATATGTGCAGCAACTTCAACACACCCCCAACTGACACTTATTTTGAATAGCCTCAGCTGAGGTAAGGTTACTTGCGGTTGAGATGGTTAAGTCCAATGGCTGGTACCAGCTCAGCTGCTCCTGGAATTTCCAGGGAAGACTGCAAGCATCCAGGAGGTTTCACAGTGCCCAGGAGATTAGAGATGTAGATAGGGGGGTGCAGGGAAGGATCCCTGACTGTGCAATGTGCTGCAGCAGCGGTGGCTGAGTGCTGTGGTTCTGAGGTTCTGACCTCAAAGCAGGTCGGTTCCTGTTGTGTCCGGTTCGTGGGCGAGTTGCACTGGCTCGACGTTCGCAACACTAGAACGCCGAGCAAATGCAACTCGAGTCATTTTAAGGAGGCGGAGATCCCGGAGTGGGAGGAGTCAAGAGCGCCGGCCGACGCCTTGGTCTCCTAGCGACGTCACGCCGCTGCTTTGGGAGGCCGGCCCGCGTTGCAACCCGACGTGCACGAGAGATCCCCTTACACTAATCATGGCTCACCTGTCAGATGACGTAAAACTGTACACAGCTGCCAAGCTAGCTAGCTGTCAACGCCGCCATCTGTCAAAATGCCATTATGTTCGTCGAAAGTGGATGGGACGGCAGTTGTTTTTTTATTATTATTTCTATTTATTTTTTATTTTGTCGAGTCGTCGTCATCGTGAGCAACACATCATTTAGCTCTTAGCAAAAGTGGCTCCTCACAGAAAGTACATTTCCTACCTGAACAAAGAATTCTGTAATGACCTGCACATTTATTACTAAATGACAGAATTCACTGACTCTTTGAGAACTGTTTATAAAATCAAAGCCAACACCTTTTACATTTTTTTTCCTCAATTTATTGTTATGTTTATTTTACAGGTTCATGCCCTCTTTTTTGATGATGAGTTTCCACTCTACCCAGCTTCTGGTGGCCTAACACTTGAGCCCCATCATTGTCTGAATCGTCCTGGAGAGTATCATCAATTTCCCTTTGATATTCTGATAGCCGAGGATGAAATCTACAAACTTTTTATGGTACTGTTGAAAAACATTAGGTTTAAAATATTTTTAGTTTTCACTTTTAGAAGATTGTCAGTGCACATTTTACGATGATTACAGTGTAGTCAGAGAAGCATGCAAAGTCCTCTAAGTCCTCCACTGCTAAAGAAAGTGCTTAGTTAGGAATAAAGATAGTGTTTGAGTCCTTACTCTTAGTTGGGATGGTGATTTGCATTCTTAATCTTAGTTGGAATGGTGTTTTGATTCCTGACTCCTAGCTGAAATGGTGTTTTGATTTCTTACTCTTACTTGGGATGGTGTTTAGATTCCTGACACTTAGCTGAGATGGTGTTTAGATTCCTGACTCTTAGTTGGAATGGTGTTTTGATTCCTGACTCTTAGTTGGGATGGTGTTTAGATTCCTGACTCATAGCTTAGATGGTGTTTTGATTCCTTACACTTAGGTGGGATGGTGTTTAGATTCTTCACTCTTAGCTGAGATGGTGTTTTGATTTCTTACTCTTAGTTGGCATGGCTTTTAGATTCCTAACTCTTAATTGGGATGGTGTTTTGATTCCAGACTCTTAGTTGGAATGGTGTTTTGATTCCTGACTCTTAGCTGAGATAGTGTTTAGAATCCTGACTCTTAGTTGGGATGGTGTTTAGATTCCTGACTCTTAGTTGGGATGGTGTTAAGATTCCTGACTCTTAGTTGGGATGGTGTTTAGATTCCTGACTCTTAGTTGGGATGGAGTTTTGATTCCAGACTCTTAGTTGGGATGGTGTTTTTTTTATTCCTGACTCTAAGTTGGGATGGTGTTTAGATTCCTGACTCTTAGCTAAGATGGTATTTAGATTCCTGACTCTTTGCTGAGATGGTGTTTTGATTCCTTACACTTAGTTGGGATGGTGTTTTGATTCCTGACTCTTAGTTGGGATGGTGTTTAGATTCCTGATCATTAGCGGACCCTTAGGTAGGATCGCGTTTGACTCCTGACCTTTAGTTATTATGGTGTTTAGATTTCTGACTCCTATAGAGCAAATATATATTTTGCCTCTAGTGTCCCCCAAAATATACAAAGAGTTGGCAAGTCATTAAGTCCATTATATTTCATCCAGTGTAATTTTCTGTAATAATTTAGCTTATCATTCAATCTTTGTTTTCTTTCTTACAGGACATAAATTTGAATATTATCACAAGTGCTCCAACTAGAAAACCTTTGCTGTGCCCTGATTCATTGGGTTCGGAGCCAGATGATCCAGGTAATTTGGTTACTGTTGTTCTAAAGTAAAATAATTCCATCACTTTTCCAGTAAGAAACATTTATTACTTATAATGTTTAAGAAAACAATTGACTTTTTACTTTTGTACAGACATGGATTTTCCTGTAGCGGAACCTGGTGTAGGGTTGAGTTCTGACTATTCACGTATACCAGGGATTGGAGCAGCTTCAGCTGGGATGCCACTAGTTGGTGGGGTAGGGTCTCTCTATGTACCAGGAATTATAGGACCGGCCACACCATCACTTAATGCTATCCCTGGCATCCCAGCTCTAAGAAAGCCAGAGGTTATTAGGAAGTACTTCCCTGAGACCTGGATATGGGAACTGACTCCAGTTGGGTAAGTTACTGTCTCTGATCAAAAAAATATACAGTGAAATATATTTTCAGCATACTTAAAATGCCTTATTTTTAGAATCGTTGCATCGCAGAAAAGTTACAAATCAGAGAATAATGTATCTGCATGCTGCATGTACAATAGTCATAAAACAAATTGTCATCTTAGGGAACCTGGTACAAATAGAAATGATAACAAGTAGAAATGTATTCAAATGTTTTGTATGTGGTAACAGTTTGGAGATCAGGTGTAATGAAGAAAAGGTCATACAGTGCAATGTACAAGTTATGCCCATTTATGTTCTTTACTGCATAATAAAATGTTCAATAAATTTGTGGTTTCCATACGTGGCATGGTATTATATATAACCTAGATTCTTTCATCTCTTTGTAGGCAAGGTCAAAGTAACAACAATACAGCAGTATTTACTCTATGTACAGAAAACCTTAAAATAAACCTTTACTAATAGACACATGGACGCTGCCATTGTTGATGTTTCGTTCTAAAAATGATAGCTGCCTGGCTGTCATATTGATGCTCTCGCTTGAGTACTTTGGGTCAACAAACATGCTGATAAGCTTTTTCTAGGAAGGTCATAATGGCTGCCCTCCCATTTAGCTCTTTAGAAAGGTTTAATTAAAAGCCCACCTTCTGGCTTAGTCCACCCCCCCCCCCCCAAACTCATCAAAGCACCCCCGCTCCCCTGACCCTGTATACATACCTTTTTCTGGGTGTCTTCAGTTCAGTCTGATAATGTCATGGGTTTTTTTTCACCTACTTCTTCCTCTGCACAATGAGATGGTGCTGCTCTCTGCACCTTTCTCCTGTGAGTGCATAGCAGGGGGTGGAGTCTTGGCATCCTGGGCTCACGGGTAATGGGTTTAATGACACTGGGCAACGTTTAACTTAAAAGATTAGTAACACTAGAGCTGTCACAGACTTTGGGGGACAATATCAGAGATAGGGTGAACATAGCTACTGAAGCTGATTTTGTATTTTTGTTTAAACATGCTGTTTAAAATAAACTATGCTGGTCTTTACTTTTTTTGCTCAAGCTGATCTTGGGCTTTAAGGATGAATTTAAAATAAAATGATGTGCTGTATGTTTTAGGGACTCTGGCATTGCTGAGCTCCATCGGCCAGTTCCAGACACCATCACAGACTGGAATGCGGGAGCTATGTGTATGGGACCCACTGGATTTGGCTTATCTCCCCCTGTGCCTCTCAGAGTCTTCCAGCCTTTCTTTGTGGAGCTTGCTCTTCCATACTCTGTAGTTAGAGGAGAGTCATTTACTCTAAAGGCTTCTGTGTTCAACTACTTGCAGCACTGTATAAAGGTAAAACCTGTGGAGATTATGTCTAAACTAAAGACTTAACAGGTTTTCTCCTACTGTATTTCTTTTTCTTTACAATCCTGTAGAGCAGGGGTAGCTAAACTTCATCCCTCCAGCTGTGGTGAATCTGCAAATCCTATCATGCATCTGCCTCTAGAAGTCATGTCTGTGGCTGTCAGAGTTTTGCAATGCCTCATGGGACTTGTAGTTTTCACCACAGCTGGAGGGCCAGAGTTTGGCTACCCTGCTGTACAGTCTACTCCATCGTCAGTAGCAGTTCAAGAGTGATTAAGTCACACAATTATATTTCAGTATTGGATCAACCCTAATGAGCTCAATAATATACATATACATATCTGATGAAGACACTAGTGCCAGGATGCCCCCTTCATGGTTTCTGACATCATCCTATCCAACAGCACAAAGAGTTTATACATTTTGGATTATTGGCAATTGAACTATGCTATATATCCAAACCCATGAAAAATCAAAATATTACCTTTGGGTGGACCTTATCTTTAACTAGACTATGATGAATGAAGGTTCTGGTGGTAGAGAAGCAGCTCTGATACCTCAACAAGAGGAACTTCAAACAGCTGATGTTGTAACAAAGGGTTAAACTCCTTGTTACTTATAATCAATCTGATAACAGGTTACTATGCTTAATCTATTAGATAGCGAGATCTATATCGCTGGGTGCAGCCCAATAAATTTAACTGACAAATGATGAAAGTATTCAACTCTCAAACTTTTTTTCAAAAATGAATCCAGCTCAAACAAATATACATTGCCCAGCAAAGCATTGCTTTACATTTTCCCCCAAACACTAATCATCATGTTTTCTGAACAGCTGCTTCCAACTCTCTCAGCTCAGCATCCCTGAACTTCCTGTCCCGTACAAGTTCACAAAGGACCATGCAGACTCCAGCAACTGTTCATCTACTAGCTTAGGAGAGAGGAGAGGGGGCCAGATGGGAGGGGAGTAGCTTGATTTGCTAGCTCACACAAGAGTGACTGCATAGCACTCCGATTGAGAAAGGAGTGAACCTAAAACAAGGATATCAGGTCCAGTGCTCAGGGAACTAGCTGATTCTGCAGGAATCTAAAACTTTAAAACATCAAGGAGCAGCAACCATTGTAAGTGATTTTATCAGCATTTGAAATAGCTTAAAATCCTTTTGACTTTAATATCACTTAAATTGATAGTAATACATTTACTTAGCTTGGATTAAAGAGGTATTACGGATAATAAACTAGATAGATACAGCACCATTCCAGTCCAGCAGAGTCCTGAATCTTTGATTGGATCAGAAGTTCTTGGAGATGTCAATCTTTCACAGGCTTTAGAGGCACAATCATGCCCTGAGTAATCTCAGCTAGTCTTTGTCTTCTACCTATACATTGAATATAACTTCCTTATTGAAGGGCCTTCTTGTGTCCTGCTAAATACTGTTTACAACCAGTTTGAACAAATAATTGTTCCAGCAGCACAAAGGACCATATGGTGCATGGCAGCTCAAGCAGTATACCGCAAGCAGTAGCTCGCCGTATACTGCGGCCTCTCAGGGATACTGAGGGTTGTGGCTGTTACTAAGCTCTGATACCACAAGGCGCTGCAGTGCAAGGGCTGGAAGAGCATTTTTACTGCAATAAAGAGGTGCTTTAAAGAACTTCAGTAAAAAAAAAAATATGAACCCTTGCACAGCGCGCCCTGGTTACTATTTAAACCGCGCGCGCTGTCAATTGTCCGGCACCGGCGTGACGAGGGGACAAGTTATTTTTCAGGCCCTGTAAATTATAGTTTCAAAAAGTATGTGGAGGGGATGCTCAATGGGGATAGTATGGAGTCCATAAAAAAAAAGTATGTGGGGGGATGCTCAATGGGAACAGTATGGTCCCCTCGTCATGCCGGTGCCGGACAAATGACAGCACGCGCCGGTTTAAATAGTAACCAGGGTACACTGTGCAAGGGTTAATACATTTTTCAGTGTGGAGTACTATGGAGGCAGGAGGGTACACAGGCGTCACACACAGTCACAGATACTACTATCAGTATATCACTCCCCTTCTTCTCCATCACTTCTGTACTGTATTATGCAGTGATGGAGAAGAAGGGAAGTGATATGCTGACAGTGTCACACACGGCACAGTACCTGCAGGATCTCTGTCGGCCTCACACCTCATGTGTACGCTGGACCTCAGAAGCCCCTTCCGGCTCCTCACGGCCACACCTCCGTTGCGCCAGGCTGACTGCTGGGTAATGCAGTCCACTGGCCGGCGGCAGCTCTCCTGCTCCTCAGTTCGCCGCTGGCGGCATGAGAGAGTGAAAATGAATGTAAAGCTGCCGGCCGTTTAATTACAACGGCCGGCCGGGAAGCTACTCGTCCAGCACTGGCGTCCACTCGTCACAGACGAGTGGACGAGTGCATTTTTCGAGCCCTGTATATATATATATACAGTATATATAGTTCATGTAAATCAATAACTACTAACAAAATGTAATTCAAAGGTAAGCGTAAAAAGCTTTTGCAATTAGGTCACAACTTATGCAGTGGCCAAATATCCCAAACCCAAAAGAGGACCAGGCGAAGATGTTAGCATTGACGAGGGACCTCACGGGTGTCACATCACTGGATGTGAGGGGAGAATATTTCAGCTTTAATATTGCAGACTTAGCTTCAACGTAAGAAAAATTATGTGAAACAGATAAATCTTTGACTTTTTCCTAATATAATTTTATACATTTTATTATATTGTGGTTTAGTCTTACTTAGCCCTCATTGCATTTCATTTTAAATGAGTCTGTACAGTATTGCAATTCAAAATATCTACAGCTCGCTGTCCATGGCATGCAATATAACCATTTGTGAACTGCTACTCTATTATAAAGCTTTAAACATAGGTCCTGCCTCAGAGCAGACAACAAAATATATCTGCTTTGACTTTTATGAGCCAGAATAGAATTATCTGTGCTCCTCAGTTTTACTTTCACTTTGACACTGGGGCCAGACTTTCTTTGACTTTGTGGGTAATCTGTGTAGAAAGCCATTACCCTGTCCACAGAAATTGTCCTTACTGGCCACTGACAAAGTATTTTTGGACATTGAGGTTCATTGGTTTTCTCCCTGGACTTTGAACCTGGTTGCTATGGGCAACAACTTTTCCACTCAGCCACGATGGGTGCATTGCAATGGGTGCATTGGGTGAGAGGGTGGGAGAGACAGCAATAAAAACCTGATAGTGTTCTAATCCCTCTCCCCTCTATCCATAACTAAAAAAATATATTTTGCCTTCAGTTGCACTCTAAGCATCAGAGACCTTGAAAGATATATCCTATCCATGGAATTATCTCTTTTTTTGTTCCTAGGTTCAAATTGACCTTCTTCCTTCTTTGGAGCTGGAACAAGAACTGTGCTCCAAATGTCAGTACAGCAGCTGCCTTTGCGCAGAGGAGAGCAAAACCTTCTACTGGAATGTGACAGCCAGCAAGCTGGGTGAGATACCACAATAAAAAAGCAAATAAAGGAAATTGTAATCCATCTCCACTCTAGCTAAAGCACATATAAATGTTGTAATAAAAAGGGCTTTTTGGAATTTACAATATCTCTATTATATCGATAATTTATTGCAGTTTATTTATGTATTTATTAGTTTCTTTATTGCACTGCAAATTTATTTCCTCCTAAAATGCTCTGATACTTATGTATTCTATAGCAGACAACTTTGGAATTTAATCATGCAACTTACTGTATTTCTCTGAGCTGTGATATCATTACTCTATAAACATAAGACATGTTGGGCAGCGAGGTGGCTTTGTGGTTACAGATTCTGCCTTGCAGCACTGGGCTCCCCAGTTTAAATCCCGTTCAGGACACTATCTGCATGGGGCTTGTATGTTTTGCCTGTGGGTTTCCTTCCACATGCTCTAAGGACATACTGCTAGGTATTATCTTTGATCTAAATGGGCCCTTATATGTGTGTGTATCTGTGCATGAATGTGAGATAGGAACCTTAGATAGTAAGCACCCTAAAGGCATATATGGCATATATGTAAATTATTGGTGTGTAGCGCCCTCTAAAATGTCGCTATTCAATTTTGAAATACCTGGACTGTAACCAGTCTAGATACTGATTATACAGAGCTCTGCATTCTATAGGGGTTCCTTGAATCTGCTGGATCTAAGCAGATCACAGCGATATCAGCATTAGCCGTTGCTAAGGGAGAAAGCTGTCCTCCGAGTATTTCCTATGGCATCCTACAGACCCTAAACCCTCTCTCTCCTATTGATGTTGCAAATAAATACCCTAAAAAGACCCTAAGACTCGAGCCATTCTGTCCATGAGTGTCGGTGTGCTGTTGCTGATCAAAGGGGACCGGTAGCTGGAACCAACAGGTAGGAGAACCCATTTCCATATTCAGCGGCTCCTTCGGGGGTGAGCGCTACAGGTGCTATATAAGTACCGTATTTGCCAGCGTATAAAGCGACTGGGTGTATAAGAAGACTCCCTAATTGTCCACCTAAAACATAGATTTCCGCTATACTCGTCATATAAGACTACACCACTTCCGAGGCATCACCATTTAAAAACATCATGGATGGATGTGCGGTAATACTGTATGTACGGTAGCTTCAGCTACATACAGTATACCGCGCTGAGCCAATACGGCGAGCAATGTATTCTATTAATGAATACAAAGCTTGCTTGGATTGGCAGAGGTTGTGTACATCGCTCGCCGTGATTGGCTCAGCTACTGTATGTAGCCGAAGCTACCGTGCATGCAGTATTAACGCACATCCAGCGGGCTGACAGATTAGGGATGTTTGTTTTGGGCCAGCTCGGCCTAAACGAACTAAAGGTATACATTGTATACCCCGTGTATAAGACGACCCCCGATTTTCGGGGGATGTTTTTAAGTATGAAAAGTAGTCTTATACGCCAGCAAATACAGTACCTATAATAAATAAATACTACAAACAAGCATAGATTGTTAGAGAAAACCCAATAAAATTCATGTAATCTTCATAAAGGCAGTGTCCTTGGTAGCAGCTTGATCCTAGTGGTGTAAGGACAGAGTGCGTTACACAAAGCCAGCAGTACTGCCCATGAATGTAATAGATGGTGAGTATTAGATTATTATATGACTGGTCTGTTTGTCCTGATGTAGGGGAGGTGAATATCACAGTGAGGACAGAAGCAATAAACACACCAGACATGTGTAATAATGAGATTCCTGTTGTTCCAAAGCAGGGAAATACCGACACTATCATCAAGCCACTTATTGTTAAGGTGAGTTTAATGGCCAGCTGCCTGTCCTTTACTTTTTTCCTTCCAATACCTTCTACATATTATTTTTATTTTACAAACAAATATTTAATACACGGTGCACCCATAACACTGGTGCCACAGAGTCTAATGGGTTTACTAAAGAGAGAGCACAACTAGTAGTCTTTTGTTTGCTTTTTTTTAAATTCTCTTTGTAGATTTTTGAATTTAAATTATGTACAGAATCCTAAAGATTAGAGAGAGGGGTGTCACTCAGTTGTCTGTCGATTTTCAGCTTGAGCTTTTGAGCTATGTATAAAACAGCATTTTTTAATTGCATACATAGGAGCCTAGAGTTCCACCTGCTGGCTGAAAATAAACAGGTCATGCAGTATAAAAAGGAAAATTAAATTACAAAAGATTTTGTGTTAATTCTGAACACCATACAGGAATGACATATATTTAAAAAAAACACACTGCGGTGAATTAATCAAAACTGGAGCAGCCAAAATCTGGAGTAGCTGTGCATGGCAACCAATCAGCTTCTCTCTTTCATTTTCAAATCTTAACTGAACAAACTGAAGAGAGAAGCTGATTGGTTGCCATGCACAGCTCCTCCAGTTTTTGTCTGCTCCGGTTTTTGATAAATCTTCTACAGTATATATTAAATTATGTCCATTAACTGCACTATGATTTCAGCCTGGTGGTGTCTTGGTGGAAAAGTCTCACAATTTCATGATTTGCATCCCAGTGGGACAAGGTAAGGAATGATCATTAGTATCTAAATTCTTAAATCTGTGTATTACTGCTTTGACCTCTTTCTCTTTCTTTTTTTGTCGTCTTATCTTAGCTCAGGCAACCCCAGAGGAGTTCTCCCTGAAGGTTCCGGAGGACATTCTGAAGGATTCAGAGAGAGCATATGTGACCCTTTTTGGTAAAAACATCTACTAGATGATTACATATGGGGCATATATGTAAACAAGTAATAAGCATCCAGAAATTGCCCAAACCAAAATCAGCATCAACAAACCAATCCTAGAGCTGAGATGAAGTCTAGTTCTGTTTAGTTTTTCCTAGTGGTTGTCAGGTTTTACAATATAATGTGGGAAAAAAATATTTGTGGAAGTAATACACTATATGGCCAAAAGTTTGTGAAAACCTGACCATCACATCTACACTGTACGGCCAAACGTTTCTGAATATCCCTCCAAAATATTGAGTGTGTTTCTATTGAAGAGTGCTATTACTGATAATTCATACAAGTACATTTGACACAAATGTGCTTTTCCAGCCTTGCAGAGACAATTTGCGGAAGGCCATTCTCTGTTCCAGCATTATTATTATTATACAGGTTTTATATAGCGCCAACAGTTTGCGCAGCGCTTTACAATATAGGAAGACATTACAATCACAATACAAATTAAGACACGATGGAAAGGAGGGCCCTGAGGACTTACAATCAAGAAGGGAGGGGGAAGTGATACATGAGGAGGGAGCTGTGTGGGGATGAATTGTTTGAGAACGTAGGGTGAATAGTTTTGTTAACAATCTCAAGGGAAAAGTTTGGGGAAGGTGCACGGGGAGGAGGAAATATCAAGAGCTCAGTTATTGAAAGATTGAGTTTTAAGAAGTGTTGCGACATCCAGACGGATATGTCAGATAGTAGATTAGTGACACGAGAGGACACAGAGGGGGTGAGTTGTGGAGTAGAAAGATAGATATTTTATATTTGAATGGATGCTTGTATTTTGAAATAACACCAGTTAGACCACGATCCCTTACTATAAGACCTTCGCTGACATCTTGATAGATCCCTTTCTGGGAGCGTATAATGCCATCCTGACGGGGTCCTCCCCCCCAGCAGACACAAACACCAGTTAGACTTGTATCATTTATAGGGGTTTTCAAATGCCAGGAACCTCCAGTTGTCTTAAATTACAACAAATACATAGCAGGACAAATGAGACACACTTGCTCTGTTTTATAATGGCTAAACTAACAGAGAGCTATAATTTATGGCAGAAACATTGCTCTACTGGAATCTCCAATAATTTTAAGGATATAAGAAGCCAATCAAAATAAGAAGCCAGCTATACATTTTTTGTAAAAATGATTCAAACTACATTTTGGAAAAAACAAAATAACATGTTTTTGCTGTATGCACACATGGTATCTATCAGCTATTTCTTTCTCAAACCCAAGTTGGTGCACATTCTACTTCCTGTAGGAGATATGATGGGTACAGCCATGCAGAATATGGACCGGCTCTTGGCTATGCCATACGGGTGTGGAGAGCAGAACATGGTCCTCTTTGCCCCGAACATCTTTGTTCTGCAGTATCTGGAAAAGACTCATCAGCTGACTGATGAGATCAAGAGTAAAGCCACTGAGTTAATGGAGCAAGGTGAGAGACTTTTTCATTATCATTTAGACACACCTGTATTTCCCAAAGTGGGGAATATTTACCACTGTAGGTGGGACACTCAGGATTTCTGTGCAGAGTTTCACTTTGGGAAAATAAAATACACACACCACACTTTCTCAGTTGTCCAATTACACTGATCTACTGCCAGTAGTCACTATGCTAGTCTATTCTTATCATAGAGCTACTTACACCGGGATTTCAATTATGTTTCCATTTCCAATATGCAGCATAATGGTTTATGATTTACCTATAAATTTACCCTACTCTGCTTGGGTGTGGTACTGATTAAAACATATTAATGTCCCTGTTTTTGACAATTCAAAGTTTCTTGCTTTATGACTCACAGTTTCCTTTTGGCGCTTCTTCTGCCAGTGGTGGACAGGCTGCTAGAAACCAGCACATCATAGATTTTGGCAATCCAAAGACCTGATGATAAAAGACTTTCTAAGAGCAATTGTTGGCAGAAATACATGAAAATGCTCATTTGTAGTGTTTCAAACCAGTAACTAATTACTGGAATGGCTTACATCTCATGTTATTGGACAATTAAGGTTATATAGGGCAGATCTGGCTGGCAAGAGTAAGGCATGGTTTCAAGGGTGTATATAACCATACAAATTGGACTGTGATTGTATTATTTCTTCCTTTCCTTTTATTCCTACAGGGTATCAGAGGCAGCTTAACTACAAACATGCAGATGGATCATACAGTGCGTATGGGAACAGCGAGGATGGGAACACATGGTAAGTTTAATTGATAACAGCATGAGACATACCATATCAGAATTAATACACCTAATTCAATAAGCATTACTTTTTAGATATTTCAGCAAGCCATAAATTGACTGGTCCTGGAGAAATGGCTTGAGGAGGTTATCGTGTATGGCTTTCTTGAAGCCATGGAATCCAGACAGTTCATTGAGAAAGCAGTGAACCCTGTTTTATTCACTGCATACAACAGAACAAAAAAATCGCTCAATTAATATCCAACCACCAAAGGCCAAGCATTTTATGCAACTGAGATAATAGTCTAGCTCTCCATGTGACCTCAGGTCACCAGCGCCACAATCAATCTGCAGACAGATGCTGTCTTAAAGCGCTAGCACAGGTGTTGCTTGCTGATTGAGCAGCGCATCAGTACCCTAGCTATCAAGCCCCCCTGTGTCTCCTGTATGCTTTTGTGTCCAAAAGCCCAGTTCTCCCAAAGATTGCTGTTTTCCTGTGTTCAGGACCCCAGTGCTCCAAAGGCTGTTGTTTCCCTGTGCACTGCAGTGTCCAGTACCCCAGTGCTCTCAGAGACTGCCGTTCCCCTGTGCATTCCTGTGTCCAGATCCACAGTGCTTCCAGAGACTCTTGACCCCCGGGCATTTCCAGGGACCCCAGATTATTTGCTATATCTAGTCAGCTAGCCTGCATTGGTGTGTTTGAGGAACGCAACTTGTGAGCTGTGCTCCAACAAAACCCATTAGCAATTGTGGGGTGCTCTGGCGAATACCAGGTGCTCCTTAGAATCTGCGCCTTGAGCTACACCTTTGCTAAACATGCAGATTCCCTGATCTACAGTACCAGTACTATGTGTCTGTAATGGATCTGATATCACTCCTGCATCCCCAGAGGCCCTAGAGCTTCCACTGCCAGAGGACATGGACCCCTGGTCATGACAATGTTTACATTGAGATTGGCAGATCTATTATTGCAAAAGATCACTGGGCTTGAAATACTGTCCAGTTGATATACAGTATGTCTGGAAAAGCATTCCCCAAAAAACCAGAAAACACTCAGTGCTAACAAAATTATCAATGTATCTGCCAAATGGGCCATACCTTTATTGATTAAAAAATGTACTTCAAATTGCTTCAAAATGTAAATATGAATTCTAGGTAATACCATTGCTGTTATGTAGATTCAGTTATATAGATCAGCCTCATTGTCTTTGCAGGCTAACTGCCTTTGTGGTGAAGTCATTTACCAAAGCCAAAAAACACATCTACATTGATGAAACTCGCTTGAGTCAATCCTTGTCTTGGTTGACGGGAAACCGCTACTATACTGGCTGCTTCCGTAACGTTGGCAAGCTCTTCCATTCTGCTCTAAAGGTAAATCAGCAACTGACTAGAGTAAATGTCAATGAACTGGTCTGGTGCTACAATATCATTTGGACTGCAATGAAAGTGTAGAACATTATGTGTGCTTGGAATTGGGATAGCACATACTGTATGTTCAATATTTAAAGGTGATCTGTTGTTAAAAGTGGATGTACAGCCAAAATGTTAAAGGAATACATGTTTTTTTTAAGCATAAGAAAAGGGACTAACTTAATGTTTGTTCAGTCTACTAAGTTGTTGTATTTTACTGCACTTTCTCTCAATGCAAGTCTGTGAGCTGGCCAACTCATGGAGAACACTATACTCACTGTGTGGCTAATATCTAAGGGAGGGGCAGAGTATTGCACTAAGCCATTGAGAGTTACCTGTAGCGGCTGCTCTGCAATTTTCTGTATTTAATAAAAAATGTGAATGCTGTGTCAAATTATTTCTTTTGATCAACTATTGTTACATTATAAGAAAAAGCTATCTATACTATTCGCAACTCTATTACCCAATTTAGGATGCTATTCTAAGCAGGAGGATGCAGCAAAATGCTTTCTTCTATGGGATAATGGATAATCCATACAGCTGATAATGTTATTTATGAAAAAGGTTTACATCCTTTTAAAAATGATGTAAGGTATTTTTTGTGCCATTTTAGGTCTTCATAAACATATGATTGCTATGTCTATATGTGCACCTCTTTTCTATATATGCTCTGAGCCATTCATGTATGTGTTGCAGGGTGGAGTGGAAGATGATGTGTCTCTGTCGGCATATGTGACCATAGCACTGCTGGAGGCGGATGTACCAAAAGATGTAAGTACCATTAGCTCTGAGTGTAGAAACAGCAATCAGAGTCATTTATTTAGGTTGGGTTCTCAGTCTTGGGTTGCTGCACGTACATTAGATTTAGATATATCCTGAATTTCCATTATGTCTCATCTTGCTATATGTTTAACAACATAGACGTCATTACAATTTTTATTTACTCATCTATCCAATGGGTAGACAACCCAAAAAAAAGTCATATTTTACAGTTTGCAAGCCCTTAGATGTGGTGGCTGCATTAGTCTTTTTTCAGGCTTATTTCTTTATTTTTACCTGGCTATGCTGCCAGGAACCTCCTCTTCTAGGGTGAAAACGCTCACTCACTGAACTCCACGTTGTCACCCTCGTGCAGAAAGTGTGGTAGGACTACAGAACACCTCTCTCTTTCATGCCATCCTCATTTCAGGGGAAAGGGGAGGATGGGGGGTCTGCAATCGATCGAGAACTGGGCAGGGCTGATAATACTTCTTGGGATTTCACAGTAGCAGAGCCAATGGGGTTGATTTACTTTGCAAAGTGCTTTCACTTAACTTAGTGAATGGGGTAAAGCTGTGCTGGCTTTAATGATCCAATCATGTGCGAGCAAAAATATTTTTTTTGTTTTTTTCCTTACAAATGATTGGGTATTCTTTGGGTTTTCACTTAGCGTCACACAATTCACCATGCTAAGTGTAAATTATTTTGGCAAAGTGTACATGCCCATTTCCTTTAGTAACTCAACCCCACTGTGTTGTCAGCTCAAACGGGAAATTACAAGCTCACTGGATTTCTGGAAGGAGTATTTGTCTGTATGTGCAGCATTTTTAAGGAGATAAAACATTGGGAATTGTGCATGTATTGGAGAGATGTACTGAATATGTTATTATTTGAACCATACCTATACTATAACATGACCAGTTTGATCTTCTGAACATAACATTATCCAAAAATGTAATTTAGCATGTTTGCACTAATATGTTTCTTGATTTTTTGTTTTTTTAGAGTCTTGTTGTCAGGGGTTCAGTGATTTGTCTGCAGCGGTTGGCATTGAGCGTGACTAATATGTACACCCAAGCATTGCTGGCCTATGCATTTACTTTATACGGCGACTGGTACCACCGGCAGATCATGCTGAACAGACTGGAGCAAAGAGCTGTGAGAAGAAGTAAGATCTGTGACAATTATATAAATTATTAAATTATATAACATCAGCACAGCTGAACTGAATTACAATCAGTCTGACAACTATACATATGTTGGCTCTGTATTGGATAGATCTCGGCTTTTATTTGTGTTCATAAAAGATAGCGGAGTTACCTAAGATAAACTATTGACAGTGCACCAAATATTTGGCGCACTCAAACCTATTTTTTTAGGATGCGCCAAATAAGTTCAATTTGAAGGAATAGAAAGGAAAGATGCAACTACCAAAAAGACCAACTGTAAAAAAAATCCCATGTGTGACTTTTTGCACAAAATGTTTCCCCTAAATCCCCATAAATAATGGCTCAAAAAATGAGTACATATGTACATAGGATGGTGGTGCAAGACAGTTACACATTCTATTATGTGCCAAGTAAACTATATTCGTGGCAACATAATTGTTTATTTGACATGGGATGCGCCAAAATAAAAAGTCACCTGCAACACAACGCATTTCTCAGCAAGCGTCAACCTTAGTTTATGTGGCCCATTAGCTTTCGGTGAATCAATGAAAAATCTATTTAGGGTATAGAATTTTAAATGTGTAACATTGGGATGTTTTCAACGTTTGTTTAGTTGTTCAGCATTTGTGGTTTTTTTTGCCAGTGAAATTCAGTAAGTATCACAGGGCATGTCACCAGTTTCAGCACCATGGACAGGAAATGTACATTTTTATAGCGCTCAAACTGGAGTGAACACAGCGTAACAACTTCTCAATAACTGATACATGAAAACTGAAGGTACTGAAAACTGCTCTGATACTCTGTCTATAATAACTAGGGATGAGCTTGGGTTTGTTCTTAACTCGAGCTCATCTGAACCCGGAAATTAGGTGTCAGTGCACACCCAATCAGCTGCACCCAGGGCATTACCCACCCCGCAATCACATGTAAACAAAAGTACGGGATGCTGGTGACATCACTGACCCTATATGGCCATATGGCCATTTTGGTCAATGTCATTCACTTGGGAGCAAAACTGAGTTCATCCCTATTTATAACCTGCAGAATTTGACACTAGAGACTGATTAGGGTAAATAGGCTAATAAGACTGATTAAGGCTAATTTGTAGAGATAGTAGACAAGAGAAATCTAGATGATCCATATATTAATTCCCACTCGAAGCAACCAACGCTACACAGCACATAAAAGTGTATGGATGGCCAAAACCTTTCATTTTCACGACACCGCCCCCCTTTCCTCGGGAGATTCACCCCCATTTGTCCTGATGACCATTGCATTGTCACTGAGACAGAAAGTGATAGGAGAACCAAACTTTTTAAGTTGTCACCAGAACAGTAGGTAAGGGTAAATCTTGCAAGGGAGACACTTGTTCCAGTAACAACAGTCTAAGAGGGGATCTCTCCTTACTTTTTAGAGGTTTCCGCTCACTTCCCATTGTGTATCCACAACAGGAAGCCAAAGGAAGTCTTTTCAAAAAGACACAGATAGAAAAAAAAAAGCTGTCCCTTAATGAGGCAGCCTAAGATGCTTGCCTCAATGGCATCTCATTGGGTCATGTGGGCCCTTTTCAGCCAGATCATCTCAGGTTACTAATAGCTCTTAGCAACCTTTGATACTCTGGTCGGCTCCCGGTCCAGCTCACTGACTTCACTGGTTGCCAGGGGCGGAGCCGAATGCTCAGGCTGGCATCCCACCCAGCTCCTGGCAACCTGTGATGACAGTGACAGACAGAGCCAGGGCCAGACGTACCGACTGCAACCCTACCCCCCATAACTACCCCTGTCCTGGTAATGTGCACCCCCCTTGGCCTCAGCAGGCTGCTAGGGCACCCCTGCTAGCAGGAGATTTAACTATCCCCATCCCTACTTTATCCAAACCTAAAAAAAATATGTTTTTGCTAGAGACACATCCAGTATACACTTTTCCAGGCTCATTGACATATACTGTACATCCATAACAGAAATTATTGTTTACTTATTATTTAAAGTCTTTGCTTTTTGTGACACAAGGTAAAGCCATATCCCAGTTGGATCAGGTACACATGAGATATCTATCTTTCTATTTTTCATGTGTCACCTTTGCACTCCTTGTTCAGATGGGGAGCTGTACTGGCAGCCAAGGCCCACATCTCCTTCTGATCCGTTCTGGCACCGGGCTCCCTCTACAGAGGTGGAACTGACATCCTATGTGCTCCTGGCTTTGCTCTCAGCATCCCCTGTAGATTTTGGGGGAGCTTCTCAAATTGTCAAATGGCTGAGCAAACAACAAAATGCTTTTGGAGGATTTTCATCTACCCAGGTAATAAAGTAAAAACACTTTTCAGGAAAAAGTTAAACTATTTCTTCTTCCAAAAGGGAGCTGTTCGGTGATTGAAACCCTTCAGATTATTAACTTATTTGGGATAGGCAAGGTGTGTGTAAAGTCTAAGCACTTAAAAGCAACGGGTTAGAATTTAATAGATATCTATGGGAACAACTGTCTTGACAATCATCCCATTTCAGCATAGTTGATCTTACATTAGCGCTCAGATTTTAGGCAGCCCTTGTATTTGTCAAGCATGTTAATGAGTGCAGGACTACAAACCACTAAACAGTGTTCTTACAAGTGCTTTAACACTGAGGAATTTCTTTAAAGCTAACAACTAATCTATTTGCTTGTTTTAGTCTAACCAGTTTGGCCATAGGCAACTTCTTGCTGCATGACAGTGCAGGCATCTCTAAGTTCATGTGTACATATTCAGTTTTCTTTAATGAGGAACTCCAGGAATCTAAAACATATTAACCCTTGCAGTATGGCTACCCCCCATTGCAAGGGTTAACTGCTTGTTTTGGTCTAGGGGCTGGAATACATAAGATATACTGATCCCTGGTTTTGCAGTAGTGAGTGCTCACCTCTCTTTCCCTCTGCTCCAGCTTTCCCTTGGTATCCTCACATCTAATGCAAGTCAATGGACCTGTATTAAATGTGATGGCATCAGTGGTCCTTAGACCACTGGAGCCTGGGGATGATTTGAGCCCCTAGACCAAATGAGCACTTAAACCTTGCAGTAATGGGGTAGCTCCACTGCAGAGGTTAATTTTTTGGATTCCTGGAGTTCTGCTTTAAAATGCTCTGCTTACTTAATAATAAGTATTTTACAAATAGCTGTTTTAATTGCTTTATGAGTACTGTGCCAATATCTTTGATTTCTTTACCCAGGACACAGTTGTGGCTCTTCAGGCTCTGGCCAAGTATGCAGAGGCAGTGTATAGCGGTACAAGAGATGGGACAGTAACAATTAGTTCCAAGGCTGGATTTCTGGAGAAGTTCCATGTGAACAACAAAAATCGACTAGTTTTTCAGAAGACGACACTACCAGGCAACCCAGAAAACTATACAGTGACCACCACGGGAAGTGGCTGTGTCTATGTACAGGTGAGAGGTGACTGTGACGTTAATATCAATATTACGTATGAAATTCTCTTTTCCCTCATCTTCAGAAAATGCAGGATTCAATTTAGTGACCTTAGGCTGCCCCTAATTTTGTTAAGCCATCCTCAAATTGCAGCACCAGATATCTGCGAATCTGGGCCTTTTAAACAAACCTGATTGTTTATCTAGAGCTTTCCTGGGGTGGATTAGTCTTAATAATCTTTAATGATCTTTTATGACAGGTGTAAATTGCTAATACCATGGTAATTGTGTTGCACAACTCAGCTAATTCCCTACAGATCGCCTGCTGGATAACGAAGGAATATTTGGTATCCCACTGAGTTATAAACTGAGAGGGACAATATTAACCCAATTTTCATAACTGGAAAAGGGTAATGGTATCATAATATTAATCACATATAAAGCTGCATCTCGTCAAGAGAAAGGCACATATTTCAATCATAGTTGGGTTAAAAAGGTCAGAGGCCTGAAAAGCCACATTTATCCTCCTGGGCCAGCAATAGATCACACCTATGTCACATTTAGAGTCGATCAAAAGCTAATTTCCTGATGCACAATAATGTAGGGGTTATCAGACAGTAATAGGTAAGAATATTAAACTATGCTCATAGTTATGAAAATTGACAGTTTGGGAGGAGCAGAGAGGGACATCGTAAAGGCTCAGCCCTCCTACTCACCCTCCCCAGCTCAGTGACACCCCGTAGAAGACTGACAAAAAAGATGCTGCAAAGGCAGCTAAGGAGGCCCTCATTTTCACATCAAGAAGAGGCCTTTATAACGTCAGAAGGAGAAGCTCATGTAACACCCAAGAAGAGTTCCCTTTTACCTTCAGGAAGAATCTTTGCAAACCTTGCTTGGAGAAAGAGCCATTCAGGTCCATTTTCTGTACATTGAACTAAACTCTGTCAAAACTTATAAACCCAGGACTGTTTAGTACTCTGTTCTTATTCCTTTTTATTTTACTGTTGTTATCTCTGTCTCTCTTTAACATATTTTTCTGTGTACTTTTCCTGCACTGTTTCTTTTATTAAAGGATGATCTTAACCCCTTCATGACTGAGGCCCTTTTTTCAATTTTTGCACCCATGAATATACCACAGGTGATGGATTACTATGCTTAATGGAATGGGTAATGCAGATGATACTGTTAAAATGCATTATTTCTTGCAAGGTCCACATTAACTGACTTTGATGAATTTTCTTTTTTCTCCAGACAGTCCTGAGATACAATCTTCCTGCAAGGAGGAGTCATGCTGCCTTCATGATGACGCTGGATGTGAAGTCAATTCAGTGCACCAGAAACCTGCCAACACAACTTGAGCTCAACATAGCAGTAGTGTGAGAAGTTGTTCTAATTTTTCATTGTGTTTCATCGGCCAATGGTCTTGTGTGGAGTCCTCATCATACATGGTCATTTTAGTATTAAAAAGTACACAAAATAGTTTTCATTCAATGCCCTTAGTTTCTAATTTAATATGATTGTCCACTTTTAATGAAAAAATTAAAAATCAGGTCCCAGTAACCCAAAAGAATCCTAGTTTTAGCTAGATGATAATTTCATTGCTATACTACCTTCCAGGTAGATTGCTCTTAGGGAAAAATGTATAATTGGACAAGTTAAAAAGCCTCTTTCAATCAAAAATGTTCTGTCCGTCATTGGTGTTCTCCCTCCCTTCTCCCTTGATATGTCTATATAGATCACTCTGGATATTTTCTGCCTGCATATTTACCTGCCCTCTAATGCCCTCTAATGTCTATGGGCTTCCATATTCTCCTTCTGCAAATGACATCAGAAGGTAATCATAAAGAGTTAAATTTGTAGCTGCCTTTGTGGGCTTGTGTGATGGACTACCCTTCAGAGGTTCTAGATTAATGTCCTGTGAGGTGTGTGTACCATAGCCTGAGAAGGGTGTGCAAATTCAGCTAGCTGATGCAATGTAATTCACCACTCAGGCATCCAGTGCTGTCACTGGTTGCCTGAGTGGTCAATTTTCAATAGGTAGCCTTTTGTAGACTAAAGGTCACAACTTACAATGGTATTTCGTCATGTATTTTAACACATGTATTTAGCATTCTCTATATTTGTTTAAATTGCAGATACGTAGGTGCTCGTTTGATGTCTAACATGGCTATTATAGATGTGAATATGTTGTCTGGTTTTACTGCAGTGAAAAGCTCCATTGAACTGGTGAGTTGGATAATCCTCATGTAAGGTGAAGGTCTTCATTTGAGCAGTGCCCTTAAAGAAATGTTTTTTATTCATTTTGGCAAGATAAGATGACGCTCTGGCTCTATTGTATATACACTTCAGATGACCAACAGCATTGGGCCTCCTCCTGTGGGCATGGGAGGGCTATTTGCCACTTTGTTCTGTCTGTGGCTCTTGACATTTAGTAATGTTGGCCTATTATATTCTGAGATGTGTGATGTCCCAGGAGGCCAGGGGCAGCATGGACTATGACACTCTGACCTAGGTGAGAAATAAGGACAGTGCTAAAAAAAATAAGTATTACAAAATCAGAAAATAAGGATAAATTATTGTAAGAGGAGTTAAAAGAGACAAAGTTCAAAATTTGGTAAAAGGTCCACTTTATAGCCTAGCTCTGGGCACTATGAAAAAAACCACCCTCCACACACACACTGCAAGGAGTTAAAAGCTTGTTAAAGTGATATTAAAGTCAAAAGTTTTTGTTTAACCTATTTCAAAAGCTGAATGCATCTGTTACAATGGATGCTGCTCCTGATGTTTAAAGGTTTTAGCTCCCTGCAGAATCAGCTGGTCCCCTGAGCATTGGCTCTGATATCTTGTTTTAGGGGGGCTCCTTTCCCTTGCAGGGTCCTATGGGGTCCCCCTTGTGTGTGCTAGTAAGTTGTGTGTCTCCACAAACACATAGGCACGGCAAGGCAACTCACTACCCTGCTCCCCCTCCCTTCTCCAAGCTAGTAGATGAACAGTTGCTGCAGAATGATATTACTGTATAAGGCAGAAGTTCTTTAACATCACTCCATTATATAACTAGATTTCATGTCTTTGTGTATTTTATAGCTGAAGACGAATAGAGTGATAAGGAGAGCAGAGACCGGAGATGACAGCCTAACCCTGTACCTGGAGGAGGTCAGACCTTTGTCTTCTTCCATCACAATCTGTGTATTGATCCAGATTCATTTTGTTGTTTACTGTAGAAGGCTTTATAATGAATTGCCAAAAGAAACCCAGTAACAGTTTGGATTATGAAAGCACCTTCAGTCTTAAGGTGTGCAGCCAAATTTCTATTTAGGTTTTGGATAGAATAAGGAAGATTTAGAAACCCCTTAAGCTTTTTACTGCTACCCAGAGCTCAGATAGAGAGCTTTTCCCGCATTTTCTGTCCCGGCGACAACACTTTCACTAGACAGGCTTTAAAAACTGATGGAGGTTCTAACCTTTCTCTACTCTACTAAAATATATATAT